AAACTTTCACTAATTAATAGCAGTGACTGAAGACAAAATTGACTCAGAACTGTAAACATTAGAACTAAAGGGAACCAACAGATTAAGTGCAACTTTCTTGTTTCACAAATGAGGAAACTGACGACTAGTGCTGATAAGCCACTTTCCTACAATAAAACAACTGAAAACCTGAGCAGAGCTAACAAAACAGTGCTTTTTCGAACTGCAGATCAGTACCAATCAATTAAGTGGATTGTTACCAGCATTTTATAATGGCAAGAGAGTAGAAAATAATATAGGCATTTCATAAAAGTTTTTTAGTTATATGCATAGACCATAATGCAAAATAGATTTATTATAGTGGTCAAAAGTTTAGAAGTCATTGCAATAAGATATCTAATTCCACAAATAGATTTGTTCTCATTTTAAAAATTGAGTACTAAATTACTATAATTTTTATTTATTATAACACAAGCTAATAAAATATCTCTGCATTAAGTACTAAATGCTACCATTTTAAAAAGCAATTTTTTCCTTAGAATAGCTATCATCAAAAACACCACCACCAACAAGTGTTGGTGAGGATGTGGGGAAAAAGGAACCCTCATACACTGCTGGTGGGAATGTAGGCTAATGCAACCACTTTGGAAAATAATATAGAGGCTTCTTAAAAATCTAAACATATGATTGCCATATGATCCAGCAATCCCACTCCAAGGGATATACCCAAAGGAATGCGACTCAGGTTACTCCAGAGGCACCTGCACACCCATGTTTATTGCAGCACAATTCACAATAGCCAAGTTATGGAAACAACCAAGATGTCCCATTACTGATGAATGGATCAAGAAAATGTGGTATTTAGACACAATGGAGTTTTATTCAGCCATGAAGAAGAAGGAAATCTTATCATTCGCAAGTAAATGGACGGAACTGGAGAACGTCATCCTGAGCGAGGTTAGCCAGGCTCATAAGACCAAAAATCGTATGTTCTCCCTCATATGCGAACTTTAGATCTAGGGCAAGAACAGCAATGTTGTTGGACTTGGGTAACATGATAAGGGGAGAGCACACAAGGGAGGAATGGAGATAGGTAGGAAACTCAAAACTTGAAAGTATTTGATGTCCCCACTGCAGAGGAATTATACAGTAACATTAAAATGACAGAGGTCAACATGGGAAGGTGACCAGGAAGTAGTGAAGAGGTCAGGTAGAGATGAATCAATTCGGGTTGTAATACACTTGTGCATGGAAGCAATGCTAGGAATCTCTCTGTATAGCTATCCTTATCTCAACTATGTCTTTCTTATTGCTTATTGCTTATGTCTACTCTTTTAACAAAATTGGAGAAAAGGGCAGAACAGGTTCTGCCTGGAAGCAAGGAAGGTGAAGAGGAAAGGGAGGGAGTGGGGGGGGAGAGAGGGCAGGGGGGAGAAATGGCCTAAATAATGTATGCACATATGAATAAATGAATAAAAAATAAAAAGATTGGTTCTGAATGCTGTAACCTATACCATATGTGAATAGTTTCTTTAAAATACCACATTTCTATAGAGCTTATATGTGCATGAACTACAAGCTTTTAAAATATTGAATTTGAGAATTCTGATCCTTAACATATATTAAAAAAAAAAGTCTGTGAAAAAACAGTGACCTCTAGTGGATTCATTAATAACACTGGCACAGTCCCTAAGAGTTCAGAAATTAAGGTAAACACTGATGTATCCACATAAGAAGGACACCGATATGGTTGTGAACTGACAAATGTTCATAATTAAGGTATATAGTTAACTATATACAATGGGACAAATGTGTATTTTTAGATTACTCTTTTCTTATAATCAAGTTGAATATGACAAATCAAAATCTATCACTGGTTTCAGAACTCTTTCTGAGCTTGTTTAATGAATAAGGTATATAGTTAACGTATATAGTTTATAATTAAGATGTATAGTTAACTATGTACAATGGGACAAATGTGCATTTTTTAGATTACTGTTTTCTTCTAATCTAGTTGAATATGATGGTTTCAGAAATCTTTCTGAAGATTCATATGAGCTTCTTTAATATGAGCTTGTTTAATGAAAGGGTTAGGTTAACTCTAAGGATTCTTTAAACTTTAATTATGGTTCTTTCTACTTTAATTCATTTTGTACACCAACACCAGATTAAGTTCTGCTCAAAAACATGTGATAGATTTCCACTACTTGAGAACATATCAAACTCAGCCTGGCCTCTTGTTACTTACCTATCATCATCTCCCCAATAATCCATGGGGGATATATTTCAAGACTTTTGGTAGATGCTTAAAACCATGGATAGCACCACACCTTATTTATATAGCATGTTTTCCATACAGCTAGTAAGTGATTAACAGGTGAGGAGTGTATACAGTGTGGATATGCTGGAGAAAAGGATGATTCACGTCCTGGGCAGGATTTTCATCATGCTATTCAGAATGCTGTGTAACTTAATTATGAATTACATATTTGTTAATTATGTGTAATTTCTGGAATTTTCCTCTAATATTTTCAAACTGCACTTGAGTGGGTAGCCAAAACAACAGACTATAAAACCATGGACTGGGGGAGGGGAGGACTAGTATACTCCCATATTTAAAGTGAGTCAATGTTCAATATCTAACCCACTCCTGTGAATTTTTCTCCTTTTGCTTACAGTTTCTTATTAAGCAATGTCCTAACCTTGCTAATCTACATTACACATTCCCATTAAAGTTAATATTTATTCTGCCATCTCAATTATTGTTAAAATCACAGATTGGTGTGCAGGGGCAGGGGTTAAGGAAACAAAAAGCCATTTTCATTTTTCTTTTTTAATGAAGTAAGCAGAGTAGAACATATAAGTAAGAGAACTTCAGGAACTTCAAATACAAAGTGACAAGGCTTCAAGTTCTGGGGAAAAGCAGGCATTCTGATCATAGCATGGTAAGATTTTAGGAAAAGGTTCAAGGGAAGAACTGTTTTAAATTAGCTGCAGTACCTGTAACTAAAGAAAATACAAATGGCAGGAAAGGTGTTGGTAAATGGTCTTGAAGCAGATATAAAGACTTGCCAGAACTTTAAATTTAATAAGTAGAGATGGTATCTTTGGAAGCAGGTTAAAAGTAACTTTAAGAAAATATTGGTCTCAGTGGGGAATGGAGTATGTTGCTTTATAAGGCTGAAGTGGTGATGGGCAGCTTTGGTGAAAGAAACATTAAAAAAGGAGAAAAACAAGTGACAAGTAAAAAAGTGCTTAGTTTCCCAGTTGCCTTGGACAATGTCATAATCTTCTATCTTCCATACAAAGAAGCTGATAGCTGGTAGTGAAATGATGGACAATTTAGTCTTTATTATATTTAATTAAGGCCATGGGGTGGTATGTTTTACATATTCTAAATCACATAGGATTGGATTGGCAGGCAGAGGTATCTACCATCAAAGGTACTGTCACTACAACTGATGCTAGTAGAACTTAGAGTGGTGTCATATCACCTCCTTCATCAGATAAGACTTTAAGAGTTCTTTTTTTTTGAGACAAAGTTCTTTCATTAATTGCATCTCACTACACTTAAGTCATTACATTTATTTAGCAAAATCTTTCACTATCTTACTACAAACAATACTGCCTTGTATTATTGTAATACTTTTATAAACATGAATTATTTGAGACATTATTAATCTAACTGGAATTCTAGATGTACTGCTTAATTACCATCACAATAATTTTATTACTTTTCTTATAGTATCATACCATTTTACTCTCAATAATCAATTTTCCCAAATTTAGCATCTAGTGATAAATTGCAAGTGTTTATTTCCCAAGAAACAAGAGACTCTTGCAATGGCCTTATACTTTTTTGTAAAAAGACAATTTAACTGGCTTTCTTTAAGCTTGTAAAGTACTGTAGTAATTTTATTTATTTATTTTTTTGGTGGTACTGGGGTTTGAACTCAGGTCTGTGCACTTGCTAGATAGGTGCTTGACTGCTTGAGCCATAAATTCAGTCCTTTTGGCTCTGGTTATTTTGGAGATAGGGTCTCACTTTTTGCCCAGACTGGCCTGGGACAGAGACCTTACTTTTTTATGCTCTCCGTTGTTGCTGGAATGACAGGTACATATTACTATGTCCAGTTTTTTTTTTCATTGAGATGGGATCTCACCAACTTTTTTTGCTCAGGTTGGCCTGGAACTATGACTCTCCCAATCTTAGCCTCCAGCTTGGAGTGACAGAAGCACCCCACCATGCCCAATTATTGTTTGAGATGGGGTACTGTGAACGTCATGAACCACGATCCTCCCTATCTCAGTCTCCCAAGTAGCTAGTGTTACAGGCATGAGCCACTAGCATTGACTGGTAATTTTAATAAAGATTAAATGAATTAGCCAGGCACCAGTGGCTCATGCCTGCAATCTGAGCTACTCAGGAGGCAGAGATCAGGAGGACTGCAGTTGAAGCCAGCCCAGGCAAATAGTTCGTGAGATCCTATCTCGAAATTACCTAACACAAAAAGGGCCGGTGGAGTGGCTCAAGGTGTAGACCCTGAGTTCAAGCCCCAGTACTGCAAAAAAAATAAATAAAATAAAATAAATAAGTAAAATTCTCTACCAGTTAATATAGTTTCCAATTAGCAAAGTAAGTTTGGTTGGATCCCAAGACCAAATATCTTCTGGAAAAATTAATATTCTTAATTCAAAGTTATTATATTAACAGGATTCACAGTCATTTCTGGCAGAGCAGGAAACCAAACTTAAAAAGTTCCAGTTTTGTGATGAAAATTAAAACACCAAACAAATCACATTTGAATGTATGGAATTTTCTGATTTTAAGTGTAAAATCCATAATAGCTATGCTTAAAATATTACCATTTCCCCAAAATTAAAGTGTGAAAAATGGTAACACTCTGCAGAAAATCAGACCTTTTTTCAGTTTATGCTAACAAGCTGAAATTAGAAAAAAAAGCAGAAATTATTAGAATAAAATATATGAACAAATGTGTATACATAATGACTTAAATTACCTCTCTTTTCCTCGAACCCATACTGGAGTTTTTGGAATCTGTGCTCCAAAAAACTTAGATGCCTTGTAACAAAAATTGCTGCAAAAACACTGAAAAGAACATTTAAAAACTAGTTATTTTTTTCTTATTTTGAAACATATCTATATACAAAAGAGAATATAAAACATAAATATGTAGTTCAAAGAAAAAAACAAAACCCAACAAATCTTCTGCCAACTTCAGTAAGAAATAAGACACTGTGTTCTCCTTCCCAACTACATCACCCTTCACATTCCCCAGAAGTAAGCACTACCATTAAGTGTCCATCGTTCCCTTCCTTTTCTTTCCTTTTTCCATTTCCTTCCCTTCTCTCTTCCCCTTTTATTTTCTTGTACAGGGGCTTGAACTTGGGGTCCACTTGACCCATGCCTCCCTTGTTTTTCTTTAGTTTTATCACCTGTACACATATCCCTTTTAAGCACATCATTAAGTTTAGATGGAATCAAACTGATTCCAACATGGTGGAATCGTGTTGTTAGGCATTACTGTCTTCTTTTGTTTAAAATCATGGAGTTTTGGGGGGTTTTTTGGTAGTGGGGTTTGAACTCAGGGTTTTACACTGCTAGGCAGGCACTCTAGCACTTGAATCATACTCCCAGCTATTTGCTTTGGTTATTTTTGAGATAGGATTGGCTTTATGCCTAGGTGGGCCTGGACCACAGTCCTTCCTAACTATGCTTCACACATAGCTGGGAGGACAGGCACATATCACCATGACCAGTTTGCTGGTTGAGATGGGGTCTTGTTAACTTTTTGCCCAGGTTGGCCTGGGAACTCAATCCTCCCAATCCCCATCTCCTGAGTAGCTGGGATTACTGGCTTGAGTCCAGTCCCCCCAAATCATGCTTTTAAGATTTACTCATGTAGTTGTGTATTATTATGTTCCATGTTGTAGTATATTATACTTTATTGTTCGTGGGCAATTCAATTGTTTCTAATTTTTTGTTCTCACTTAAATGTTACAATAACTTAACTTTTTTTTGGACAGGGTCTCACTATGTAAACCAAGCTGGCTTTGAACTCTCAATCCTCCTGGCTCAGCTTTCCAAATGCTGGAATTACATGTGCCTCCACTGCCCCCAGCTCATCTTAACCATTTTTCAGTGTATAGTTCAGTGACATTAAAGCTTACATTATTGCATAATCATCACCAGCATTCATCTTTCTTTGGTGGTACTGGGTTTGAACTCAGGACTTCATGCTTGTTAAGCGGGCGCTCTTACCACTTGAGCCACTCTGCCCTTTTTAGTGATTTTTTTTTTTTTTTGAGGTAGGGTCTCTTGAACTATTTGTCAGGGCCTGGCTTAGAAGTACAATCTTCTTGCTCTCTGCCTCCTGAGTAGCTAGGATTATAGGCATGAGCCTCTGGTGCCTGGCACCAGTATTCATCTTTTGAAGTCTTTTTATCTTACAAAACTGAAACAGTATTAAACAATGACTCCTCACTGTTACTTCACTTGATGAGCACCATTCTGCTTCCTGTCTCTGTGAATCAGATTACTTTAGATACCTCACATAAGTAGAATCACACAATTATTTGTCTCTGTGTTGGTCTATTTCATTTAGCACAATGTCCTCAAGGTTCATCCATGTCGTGGCACATGTCAGACTTTCCTTAAGTCTTTTCCTTCCTTTTGAAGTCTTAATATTTTATTGTAAGCATATACTATAATTTGCTTATCTGCCTATGAACATTCTTTTACATTTATACCAGTACACATGGGCAAGAACTTCTTTATAGTGTATACCAAGCAATAGAAAGGTTTGGTCATAAAAAATATATGAAGTTGCTGGATGTAGTTAGTCTTAAGAGTACTTGTCTTGCATGCACCAAGCTCTGGGTTCAATCCCTAACACTGTGGTGGTGAGGGGAGAGAAGGGAGGGAAGAGAAAAAAAATGCACTTAACTTAAATACTGAAGAAGTTCTTGAAAAGGGTGGACCAATTTTTATTCCCATTAGTAGGATAGGATTCCTAATATTGTCAGATTTTTATAGTCTTGCTACTTTTGGCATTACAAAAACAACTCAGTGTGTCTTTATTTTACTTCTATTTCTCTGATTACTAAAAAGATTGAGCATTCATAGCCATGCATGGTCATTGTGTAAAAGCTTGCTGCTAGTCTGCTTGTCTTCTTATAGAGTATATATTCTGGATATGACCCTGTGGTTAGTTTTGTATGGGAAAAATATCTTATTTGCCACTTCTTATTTTGGAAAATTCTGGTGAATTTAAAAATTTTAATCTGAAAATTTATCAGGTTTTTTTTCCTCTATGGTCTATAACTTTGTCTTGCTTTGGAAATTCAACCCCAAGTTTATATTCTCCCATATTATCTTCAGAAAGGTTTTCCTTTGACATTTAGGTCTTTAGGCTATCCAGTTTGTATAGAGACTAAGATAGGGGACAACTTCATGTTTTTCCATCTGGATAAGTAACTGTGCCTGTAGTGTTTACTGACAAATCCATCTTTTCTCCACTGATACAATACTGTCATAAATCAAGTGCCCACATATATGACAAGGCTCTTACTGGCTCTCTATCAGAATAGATGATTTACTGGCCTAGGTCTGTGCCAAAATGTACTTTAAATTTTTAAATGTTCAAATCTTAACTAAAGTTTAAGCAAGAAATTTTTTTTAGAATCTTCATTACAAACAGAAACAAACTTTTATGATGGTTGTTTTCCAAAATTTCAAAATGACATTTTCAATTCTATTTAATATCCTATTAGAAATTATCTGTTACATTAAAAATAGCTCTTGAACTTACCTTTCTTTCAGTAATATCATAGACTTTATTGGTTTTGGTAGAAATTTTATATTTCTGTTTTGGTACCTAAAGAAAAGAAAGCAGAACGTACAAAATAATCTAAGTAATAAACATGATCTTACATAATAACAAGATTAAGTTAGATCTACTTATCACATTTTTGGTCAAAATATGTCATTAGTTCATAACCTCAGGTTTCATTTCCTGTTCTACAAAGCATTTTACTACATAAAAAAAAAAATCTATCTATCTCTATATAAAGGCCTATATTTAGAAAAAGTAGTTACTTACGATTCCCAGCTTCTTCTGACATAAAGGATAACCACAAAGTTTGATGATAGAGCGCTCATCTACAACATCACTGTAGTGAGCAGGTGTGATGAACTTCCCCTGTAATGAAAAGAGAGGGGCATTTACGACCAGATTAATGGAAATAGTTACCATCAGCTGTTTAATCCTCCTTAATCGCATCTGAAAATACAGGGACAACAAAAGTACCTACACCTTGTATAAGTCTGAGGAGAATTAATGGAGAAAATAAAGGAAAACCACTTAAAGTGTTCAACATATAATAAACACTCAGACCATGTTAGTTATTATTAAAAACAAAAAGTTCCGCCATCCCAGACTAGATATCTTTGTAGATTATATAGTTTATGAAATAATTCTGAGGCAGCAGGAAGTGGTGCTGTAACTATAGCAAAAGTAAATGATAGTATCATTTATTTTTAAACAATAATTTTTCAAATAGATTAAGCCATATAAGGTAATAAGGTATAATCTTACCTATTTTTAAGTATAATCTTAAGAAATAAAGTATATCAAAAGTGTCACTGACTCAACAATTTTTGCGTAAAATCTTCCTGCTTTTGAAAAAACTGATGTAAAATGATGGTGTAAGTTAACAACAAATATTTTCCTTTGGTATCTTCATGTTTAAATAATCTCAATTCTTGTCTCATAACTTCGACATCTTTTTGAACAAAATTTTCTATTTTCACATGGACTGAAATACTCTATTGAAACTGTTTTTAAATTTTTGCTTCAAAAGGACACATTTCTCGTTAGTCTGTTTGGGGGTGTTACTTAAGGCAGCACAATATGCAGAATATCAGGAGATATTCTGATCACTACTGCAAAGGGAGGAAAATCTAGTTGTAAAAGCAGACTAGTTAAAAGAACTATAGGTAGTTAGTGACTCGGCTCAAGTGGTAGCATGCCTGCCTGGCAAGTGTGAAGCCCTGACTTCAAATCCCAACACTGCAAAAACAAATAAAAAAATCCTACTACTAAAGGGGACTATACTTTTTTTTTCATTTTTTAACTTAAATTTTATTTTTAGTTGACAAATAATTGCACATATTTACAGGACACAATATAATGTTTTGACATTGTGGAATGAGCAAATCAGATTATGTCTACCACCTCATTTCTTTGTGGTGAGAGTATTTAAATTCACTTTTAATAATCTTAAAATGTATAGTGCACTGCTTTTAACTATAATCATCTTGCTGTTACTTGTTATTTTTAATTAACTCATCTGAAAGTCATATAAGGAATGTTATGTTAGTTGATTACTTTCAAATGCACAAATTATATAGTGTTACCTGTATCTAATGACTGAGAACAAATTTAAAGCTTTCGACAATGCAAAGAAGTTTTATTTTGCACAGAATTTAAAGATAACTACAAAAGTAATAATTTTCCAACTTAACACATACACACTCCTTTAGGAATTCTTCTGTAATACACTCTTCCAAAAGCTGTTCAACAATACGTAGAGCTTTTCTCTCAAATTCAATCTTCTTTTTCACAGCTGCTTCTAGTTCTGCTTTCCTAAAATTTTAATGAGAACATTAATCCACTTATAAGTTCTATCATGTCTCCAATATTTTAACCTAATTCACTATTTTGCCACTTAAGTTTATATTTTTAATACTGTTACTTTTTATTTATATGTGAATACAATGTTTGGGTAATTTCTCCCCCATTTCCCTTGCCCCCTCCCTCTCTCCCCCTACCCCCTCGCTACCAGGCAGAAACTATTTTGCCCTTATCTCTAATTTTGTTGAAGAGAGAGTATAAGCAATAATAGGAAGGAACAAGGGTTTTTGCTAGTTGAGATAAGGATAGCTATACAGGGAGATGACTCACATTGATTTCTTATGCATGTGTGTTAACCTTCTAAGTTAATTCTTCTCGAACTAACTTTTTCTCTAGTTCCTGGTCCCCTTCTCCTATTGGCCTCAGTTCCTTTAAAATATCTGCTTTAGTTTCTCTGCATTGAGTGCTACAAATGCTATCTAGTTTTTTGGGTGTTTTATCTACCCTCATACCTTCCTTGTGTGTTCTCGCTTTATCATGTGATCAAAGTCCAATCCCCTTGTTGTGTTTGCCCTTGATCTAATGTCTGCATATGAGGGAGAACATATGATTTTTGTTCTTTTGGACCAGGCTAACCTCACTCAGAATGATGTTCTCCAGTTCCATCCATTTACCTGTGAATGATAACATTTCATTCTTCTTCATGCCTACACAAAATTCCAGTGTGTATAAATACCACATTTTCTTAATCCATTTGTCAGTAGTGGGGCATCTTGGCTGTTTCCATAACTTGGCTATTGTGAATAGTGCTGCAATAAAATTGGGTGTGCAGGTGCCTCTGGAGTAACCTGTGTCACATTCTTTTGGGTATATCCCCAAGAGTGGTATTGCTGGATCATACGGTAGATCTATGTTTAGATTTTTAAGCCTCCAAATTTTTTTCCAGAGTGGTTGTACTAGTTTGCATTCCCACCAGCAGTGTAAAAGGGTTCCTTCTTCTCCAGCATCCTCACCAACACCTGTTGTTAGTGGTGTTGCTGATGATGGCTATTCTAACAGGGGTGAGGTGCAATCTTAGAGTGGTTTTAATTTGCATTTCCTTTATTGCTAGAGATGGTGAGCATTTTTTCATGTGTTTTTTGGCCATTTGAATTTCTTCTTTTGAGAAAGTTTTGTTTAGTTCACTTGCCCATTTCTTTATTGGTTCATTAATTTTGGGAGAATTTAGTTTTTTGAGTTCCCTATATATTCTGGTTATCAGTCCTTTGTCTCATGTGTAGCTGGCAAATATTTTCTCCCACTCTGTGGGTGGTCTCTTCAATTTAGGGACCATTTCTTTTGTTGAGCAGAAGCTTTTTAGTTTTATGAAGTCCCATTTATCTATGCTTTCTCTTAGTTGCTGAGCTGCTGGGTTCCATTGAGAAAGTCTTTGACTATACTATTAGTTCCAAAGTAATTCCAACTCTTTCCTGTACCAACTTTAGAGTCTGGGGTCTGATATTAAGATCCTTGATCCATTTTGAGTTAATATTGGTATAGAGTGATAAACATGGATCTAGTTTCAGTTTTTTGCAGACTGCTAACCAGTTTTCCCAGCAGGTTTTGTTGAAGAGGCTGTCTTTTCTCCATCGTATATTTTTAGTACCTTTGTCAAAGATAAGTTGGTTATAGTTGTGTGGCTTCATATCTGGGTCCTCTATTCTGTTCCACTGGTCTTCATGTCTGTTTTTGTGCCAGTACCATGCTGTTTTTATTGTTATTGCTTTGTAATATAGTTTGAAGTCGGGTATCATGATACCTCCAGTATTGTTCTTTTGACTGAGTATTGCCTTGGCTATTGTGGCCTCTTGTGTTTCCATATAAATTTAATGGTAGATTTTTCAATCTCTTCGATGAATGTCATTGGGAATACTGTTACTTTTGATTCAATACTTTCCAAAAAGGAAACAAGCTACTTGTTGCATGATAAGGATTATTTATTTATAGAGTAAAAGCACAAGGAAACACTTACAGAGTACTATAGAAAAGAAAATGAGATGAAGGAAATTTTTTCCCTGAATCAATGCCATACATATCTAAAAAGAGAGGTTTTTCTTCTGATATGAAGCCAGAAATCTGAACAGATTAGAGGAAAAAAAGATGACTTCTGTTTTTGTAAGTAAAAATCTGTCAAGTCTCAAAGCTAACTAACTGATGGCCCAGTTTGACAGAACAGTCATATTTAGAAAAGAGCATTTACTACCTTTGTTGTGAAGTTTTGCTAAATAACTATATTGATATGAATATGTGGTTTAGGAAAATAAAAATCTTTCCAGGAGAGCTTGTCCTTGTTACCTGTGAACTCTGTCAGCCTTTGCTGGCCCCACACATTACAGACACAAAGGCAGAGACTTCTGATCAACTAACAGCCTCTAGGACAGTGCTTCTCCATCCCAGCTGCACACTGGGATCTTTTGAGAAGATTTTAAAAACAAGATACTATGCTCAGGTTCCACTGCAGGCTAATTAAGTCAAAAGCTCTGAGGATTAGGACCTGGTTATTGGTATTTTTTTTAAAAAGTGCCCAGATAAATCTTATGACTGAGAATCACTGCCATAGGCCCAAAGATATCAATCTTCTTGGTCACTTACTTGTTCTTTTCCTATGGTAGTTTCTATTCACCTATGAGAACTACCTTTGTCAGATGCCTGGTCCTTGACTTGCCTGTCACATCTGAACATAGACATGTACTCAATTTTTCTCTTTACCTTCACTATCTTCTATGATTGTAGACTCTAATTCCTTCTCTGGATCAGTATGTTTTTCAAAAGTAGTTTGGAGATCTGATTCAGTTTTGCTAACAATTTATATGACAAATAGGGACATTAAAACAAGAAGAATTGTGCAACTAATACTCTCATCATTTCATAAAGACAACTTTTACATGAAAGAAATATAAAAGACAGGAACACAGATTAAATATTTCTTTATATTCAACACATAAACCTTCATGAAAAATTCATTATTTCTCTTACTTTGCTCCCTACCAATAAAAGCCATCTTATGTACTAAGATTAGCATATAACCTGCATTAAGAAATTGCTAACTCAAGCCACCAGTCAACTCAATCAGAGACACACTCCTTTCAATTGACAGATACCTACAGTTGCTTCCCATGGACAACTATGGCTTACTGCTACCTTGTCACAAATGTTAATAAGCAAGTAATGATATATAGGAGGAGTTCTCAAACTTTTTGGTCTCAGAACTTCTTTACACTAATAAAATTTGAGCTTTTGCTTATATTGATTGTATATGTCAATACTTGCCACACTGGGAATAAAACAGAAAGCTTAAGATAACTATCAACTCATTTAATAATAACCAACTTGTTAAATACTAACTTTTAGGTTTTTTGGTGGTACTAGGGTTGAATGCACTTGAGCCATGACCCCAGCCCTTTTTTGCTTTATTTTTCAGGTAGGGTTTGTTGTTTCTGCCCAGGGCAGGCCTTCAACAGCCATCCTCCTACTTAAGGCCATCCACTGTAGCTGGGATCACAGGCCTGGCCTGTGATCAACCATCAGATGGGGGTCTTATTAACTTCTTGTCCTGGGTGACTTGGAGATTGAGCCTCCTAAATCTCTGCCTCCCACATAGCTGTGATTACAGCCCATGCCTGGCCATGTTAACTTTTTTTTTTTTTTTGATGGTACTGGGGCTTGAACTCAGGGCCTCAGGCTTGCTAGGCAGTCACTCTATCACTTGAGCCACCCGCCAGCACTCATATTAACTTTTTTAAGAGAAAATTTTGTAAGAAGAGTGGAATTGTTTTGTATTTTGGCAAATCTCTTCAAGCCTGTCTTAATAGTATTCAGCTAGATTAAATATAGACGAATTTTTCAACCGGAACAAATCTATAGAAGGTCACTGCTCTCAACAACCATTTTGTTGTATCCATGCATTGTTTCATTATCCTAGGTATCTGCTCAAAACATATTTCAGCTGGGATTGGAAGTACAGCTTGGTGGTAGAGAACTTACCTTAGCATATAATAGGCCCTGGGTTTGATCTCTAGCACATCAAACAAATAAATCCTCTAACTACATTAAAATTTTTCAGCTTATTTATATTTCTCAAATTGTAGAAATATAACTGTAATCTCCACAGGTTTGCAGTCAGATCAATGTTTTGTTTTGGTGGGGGAAGTGAAGGTCTTGCTACATAGCCTAGGCTGGTTTAGAACCTGAGATCCTCCTGCCTCTACCTCTTAGTGCTAGGATAATAGGCATGGTCCACCATGCCTGGGTCAGATCAGTATTAAGGAGAGTTGTAAGTCACCGTCATAATCAATATTAACTTTTTTTGGGGTTAGTAATAGGGTTTGTACTCAGCCTCCCGCTTGCTAGGCAGGTGTTCTACTACTTAAGCCATACCCCCCAGCCCTTTTTGTTGTAGTTATTTTTTGGAAATAACATTTTTTTTCCCCAGGGAATCTTCCAATTTATACCGCCCACATAGCTGAGATAACAGGTATGAACCATCATGCCCAGCTTTCTTGGTTGAGATGGGGGTCTTGCTAACATTTTTGACTGGGCTAGCCTCTAAACTCTATCCTCCCAAGTAGATGGGATTACAGGCCTAAGCCAAGGTGCCTGACTCTACTAAACATTATTTATTTATTAATTAATTTTTTCACTTATTTATATGTGCATACAATGTTTGGGTCATTTTTTCCCCCTCAACCTTCCCCCTCGCTCCCTTCCTCTCTCCCCCTACCCCCTCACTTCAGGCAGAAACTGTTCTGCCCTAATCTCTAATTTTGTTGAAGAGAGAATATAAACAATAATAAGGACAAAGAGTTTTTGCTAGTTGAGATAAGGATAGCTATACAGGGAGATTCCTAGCATTGCTTCCATGTATATATGTGTTACATTCTAAGTTGATTCTTCTTGAACTGACCTTTTCTCTAGTTCCTGATCCCCTTCTCCTATTGGCCTCTGTCACTTTAAAGTTTCTGCATTGGTTCCTTTGCATTAAGGACATCAAATACTATCATGTTTTTTGGGTTTCTTACTTATCTTCATACCTCCCTTGTATGTTCTTGCCTTATCATGTGACCAAAGTCCAATCACCTTGTTGTCTTTGCCCTTTATCTAAAGTCCACATATGAGGGAAAATCCACCAGCCTTTTTGGTGATGGGTTTTCTCAAGATAGGGTCTCAAGAACGGAAGACCTATTTGCTTGGGGCTGGTCCTCCTGACCTCTGCCTCCTGAGTAGCTAGGATTACAGGCATGAGCCACCAGCACATGGTGGAAGACAGATTTATTATGTAGGGTGCACAATGACAATTAGAAATATCCAATGGCTTTCCACAGCTCCATTCTGTGAACAATGCCACTTTACCCTGGGGTCCTGCTTCTTTCTCCTCAGTTTGATGGCAATATCCATGTGGAGTCTGCAGTCAAACCTGAGTTTGGTCAGAGCCACAGTAGAGGACAGAGTGGCCTGGGACCTTGAGGGTAGGGAAGGGCCTGTAGAATTGCTGGTGCACCCTGTTGCCCCTGATTAATGCCTTGGCCAAATGCAAAGGTCTTTTCCAAATATAAGGAGAAAATCACTGGGCCTGCTGAGGTGAATTTTGAGACTTGCTTGGCTGTTTTTGTCTGGGATTCAACATGGTTAACAGCATTGAGGAGAACTCTGCATGGTCACCCCATCATTCTGCCTGGAGTCCTGTAGACAGCAGCTCCACTAAACCCTTGTGGGATGAATAGTGTGGCCCCAGTCTCTGTAGTCAGATTGAAGAAGTGGACAGAGGGACATCCTCACAGGAAGGCTGCACACTCAAGGGGTAGATATCACTGGGAGAATATTCCCCGCAGATCTGGTTTGCTTCTCCAGGTCTTGTAGCCACAGGTGCTAGCTACCTTTGCTCCAGACTTGTCTTCTGAGGATGTGTGGATGATGACCAGTGTGCCTAACAGTGGTGTGCCTTCCTGAAGAAGCCATCTCTTCCTGTCCATGAAGAATGATGCCCTCCACAGAGCGAGGACACACATTTATGCTGTCCTGAAGATATGACCCAGTTTGTGGGTGTCACCTGTCTTCTATGCTTCTCTTTGGGGACTGGTCTCATGGGTACGAACCTAGAACTCTGGATGTAGTAATTGTGGGGTAAAATCCTTTCTCCCTAATCAGGAGTCTAGAACCTGTTGTCGGTCCCACAAACCCTGGAAAGCTAAAGCAATCAGCATGTGCATAGGGCAGAATCTCAGGAACGCCATGATCTGTACCTACATATTGTGTCCTCAACAAGGTGCCAGTCACCATGAGTGCAAGTAATGACTTAGTCACTAACTTTTATTATTGATAAAAAAAACCTTTGTTTTCCTTTTTAGCTGTAAAATATTTCATTATTCTGAAAACATTAACTCACAGCTGGTTACCTATCAACTAAACAACCCTAGTATTGCTGAATGCCTGTGGGGTGTGTTCCCTTAATTAGCCCATGACTCATGTCAGTCTTTACATAAAGAAAGTGAACTTTTAGGAGTAGGTGACACTACTAACTCATTTATGTGCCCCCAACATCTACTCAGTGCCTTCTACAGAGTGGGAACAGTATCTAAGGAGGAAATAAATACAGGTGTACAGGGCATCCAAAAGTAAATCTTTCCAAAAAATATACCCCCAAGTAGTTGCCCAACCCTGTCTTTAGGATCAGGACATTGTTGTCAAAAGGACCCTATGACCTGTAACTGAAGGGGTAGCTATTTCCATCCTCTTCATTCATCCCTCTCTTCCCAGGCAATTTCTATCAGTTTCAAATACCCAAAAATGAGTGTGAGTTCATGGGGAATGTTTTCTCTTTTTTCCCTTTTGATTCAACTTTAAAAAAAATAAGTAACACTTTGTTTGTAGCTAATAATAGGGTATTTTCTAGCTAGAATACTAAAACTTGGATACACCATCAACTGTCTTGTGATAATCTATACCTTGAGAGATTATGTAATTTTTACTGAACTCTCAACAAAACAATAAGTTTATGAGGACAAAACCTGCTTAATGATTTTGTTTGATTATTCTTTGTTTCTTGAACATCTGAGACTATGATACCATTAATATTGGTATCTGCTGCATATTTAAAATTAAGGTGTCTGTTAAATATTTTGGAAAAGAATGATGGGCATATTGAATTCTTCATCATGAGGCAGGCTAGCATAGCGACTGGTAGCTTGAGAATCAAAACAAGCCCAAATCAGGAGTTAGAAATTAAACACTATGCTGGGTAATCTTTTAAGAAGAATACACACATTATTTTTCCCCAGCAGATCCTTCATTTTGAATTACAATGTATCATCAAAGTAATTTCTCTAACCTTGTCACAGATGAGTAATGCACCCCAGAACCAAAACTGCTTGGCACAGCAATTCTAATTAGAAGAATAGTCATGAAAACTACAAGAAATAGACACCCATTCATAAGACTCTTTGGTTGATGAGAACACCAGTGATATAGGAGTTAGGCAGGCAGTTAGGAAACCTGATGGATGAGAATGATGATCAGGATGTTGATAAAAAGTCATATCCAGGACCACTGACTTAAAGGAGTGACTCAAAAGGATCTTGTTGACCCCAAGCCCCTGCGCTCTATAAAAGAATGAGTAACTCTAGTCTGACCACTCAAGGCCAAGGACTCCCCCACCCTACATATGGGTAGAATTGATGTGTATCCCAGACTTAGGTAGTTGATGACATAATAACTTGAGTTTCCAGGTCTGACCACCCTCATGTCTGGAGACCTCAATAAAATTTTGAGGTCCTGGGACCCCCAGCACAGTGTTCCTTCTTGAGCTGCCCACCCTCCTGCCTGGAGGGGACACTTTCAATTTGCTTAAGTCTCTATGTGTCCATTCCTAAATTCTTTCTCCAATGAAAACAAGAACTATCTGGTCCCTGGACCAGGTGACAGTACTATGCATGAGGTAATTATGGTTATATCCCAACAGCCAAAGACTGAGACTGAAATCCAAAGAGCTCCCTTTCTTCTTAATCTGTCCCAACCCCATTTCTGATGAGGACTTCAGCCTCTAGGACCAGAGGACCTAGATTTACAAGATGAATCAGGTGCTTTTGCTGTGTTTCCAAAACAGATCTTAAATACAATCAGTTTCACTGGTCCTAATGTTCTAAAAATCCAATCACAGCCTTAAAGTTTTCTTGTTTGCACTTAGACAATCCAAATTTCCCACTATGAACTACCAAGTACTATGTGAACTCTCTCTCTCTTTAACTGTTTCCTGTGCTCAGAATGCCACACACCAGCCAAGGCATCGTTCTTTGAAGTGGCTAAACCTTTTCTTGTCTCAGAATCTTCATACATACTGTCACCTCTCACTGGAAGTCTTTCATCACTATTCTATCTGGTCTTTGCCTTCAGTTCTCAGCTTAATTACAACTTCCTTAGAGAAACCTTTCCCTGAAAATCCACAGCTAACCTTCTTGCCAATCCCCAGCTAAATTGGACTTCTATTATTAGTTCCTCCTCATAACATCATAGTCTTTTACAGCACTTGTTATAATTTATAATTATGTTTTTATTTGTGCTGGTTTAATTGATATTTCTGAGCCACTAGACAAGAACTGTATCTATTTTAATACCATAGCCTCAGGGCCTAACCCAAGTCTATCTTATACTCAGTACATAATTTTTGAAAGAATGAGCAAACTAAGACCAAATCCAATACAAGATTAATGAGTCTTCATAAAGTGATAAATCACATACACACATATTTCTTAATTCTCTTCATAAGCCACTCCTAGATACCTTTTGTGACATGAGATAATATCTATCTTGCCTTACTTTTAGAAGTCAAAAGGCAGTAGAGGACAGGGTTTGAGTTTTTCTATTTTTGGCAGTACTGGGGTTTGAACTCAGGGCCTCACAGGTGCTCTACCACTTGAGCCACTCCACCAGTCCTTTTTTTTTTTAGTGCGTCTTTGGCAATAGAGTGCGAATCAGAAGATGTGGGAAGAGTACCTTGTTAATGCAGGAAGGAGTTCCCAGGTACCTTTCTGCAGATACTTATACCTTCATCAGCGGTCTAAGAGTGTAGTTTGGTTTTTCTAAGGACCAGAGTAGAGGAATGTAACAGTCTAAGTAAGGACTTACAGAGCTTCCTACATTTTTCTCTTACCTGACATAATTTTCTCCAAAAAAGTACCCATTATTGTTTTTAAAAACTGGTTCAATTATTATAACAGCTAAGTGAATGCAGTTGTCCAAGTAGTTCTCATACCTTTTAGAAGCATCTTCTTGTTTCAAGGCGCTTGTCTCTTTAGCACCTACAATTAAAATAATAGGTCAAGTCTACACAATTGAATTAGGTAAAGGATAGTAGAGTTCTGCCCAAATAACAAACTAACCTGTAGACGTCTTTTCCTCTTTTCCACACATTTCCAATCCTGTGTGTAAATAAAAATGAAGTAAGAAGGAAATCCAATTTGTTTTTGTAAATTAATTACTCCCTAACTTTTCTTGGAGATTGATTTTTTTTGTCATGTACCACGGATGCTTGGTTAATTAAGCTCTCCTAACAAATCTGTCATCTGGGTACTTTTAGGAGAAATGGTTCTGTCTTCCAAATACTCGCTCTTGGGAGAAGGGGAGAGTGTGACACCTCAGAGGACGCAGTCCGAAGGGCAGGGCCGGTCTTGGAGTTCCAGATGGCTGCGAGGGCCTGCAGACGTCCGGGTCTGCACCCTCGGCCCTGACGCGGAGGTGTGACCGCAGCCCGGAGAGAGCGGCCTCGCGCCGGGGTCTGGAGCCTGATCCTCAGAGTAACGCACGTAGGGCCCTCATTCCTACCTGCGGCGCTTCGGGAGGCGCTGGGCGGCCGCGGCTTCCCGCCAGCAGAGACCGGCAACTCGCTGTCCGCCATGGGGAACGGAGTCCGGCGAGGGGCGGGGCCCGGCGAGGGGCGGGGCCCGGCGAGGGGCGGGGCCCGGCCCCGACGTCCCCACGAAGCCCCGCCTCCTCGAGGCGCAGGGCGGAGCCGGAGCGCGGCTGCGCGGTCGGCGGCGTCTGGGGGCGTGGGGAGGGCGCGAGGTCTGGCGGGTAAGTGGACGCGAGAAGGCCGGCATTGGGCGCTCGCGGCTGACTGAGGGCTGGGGACGCGGCCCTCCGACCCCTGCGCGGGAGGCAGCGGGCCCGAGCCCCCGGCCGAGCCGGAGCTTTGAGAAATGGCTCCCCCGGGTGCGGTCCCCAGCGCGAGGACCCGCCGGGCGGCCCGAGCAGGGAGGCCGGGTGACGGGGAGGGCGAGCCCCCGGCGGCTGCCTGCGTGTCTTAGCTGTGTCGGACCCCAGTTTTTGTCAAGGGGGACCTCAAAAAAGTACATTTCCCTCATGATTAGAATTGCAATTTCAGGCCCACCTTCTGGATGTTTGCAGTTTCAAAGCTGTCCAGTCTGCCTTTGCCTGGACTCTTGGAGTTGCTCCCAGAAGGTTCTTTCTCCTTCCCCTCCCTCCATCCCTTTCTTTGTTTTCTTTCTTCCTGACATCTTTCGAAGCTGTACTCCTTAAAAGGGATAATAAGGGCTTATAAAGAAACCTGCTTCCAGTAATAATATTTAAGCTTTAAAACTGTGTTTTCTTTATTGTATTTTCTAATTCAGAAAGAAGCATGTAATTTCACAGATCGTTAACAGTGTGTTTTATATTAATCATTTCAGCATTAAAACTAAGAAAAATAATTAGAAATGGCTGTGGAGGAACTTCAGTCCGTAATAAAGAGATGTGTAAGTAATTTTTTCTTTTTGCACAATTAAATACCTTTCAAAATAGGAAAAGGGCACAGATTATCTTTTGTGGCCACTCAAATTGCTTATCTTCTTTAATACTGCTTTATTTGACCTGTACATAAATAACCTGAGGGCAGGAAGGTAGATTTGATTTTTTTTTCCAGGTGACATACTTGCCTAAATAACTTTTCAATTTTAATATTGACCTTTTTAATAGGTTTCTTTGGTTCTGTAAATTTCAAGGTCATACTTAAGCCTCCAGTGGCCCATGCTTGTAATCCCAGCATTCAGCAGGTTGAGGCAGGAGGATTGAGTTCCAGGCCAGCTGGGCTACATAGCAAGACCCTGTCTCAATAAACAAAATAAGTAAAATAAGATAAATAATTCATTAAAGTACTTATTAGCATACTCCTAATTTTCATACCCGAATTTATGTGTAGTTTATCTATAATTTAAACAGATTTCCCTTTTCTCCAGAGAGATAAAGTAAATCAAGAAGTTGTCAGAATTTTTACTTGATTATGTGCTTGTTTTGTTTTTACCAGCAAATCCTAGACGAGAATGACTTTAAAGAAGAACATTTTGGCCTGTTTCAGTTAGCAGGGCAAAGATGTATAGAAGAAGGGCACACAGAACAGCTATTAGACATTATTCAAAATGAAAAGAATAAGGTATGTACAATCTTGGTGTTTACTTTTCAGTCTTTAATTGGGAAAAATATACTTAAATCCTATTTTCCATACTTTATCACCCAACATGCAGGAATAAACTTAAAATTTCACAGTAGGAAATTGGGAAACAAAAAATAAATTAGAAATATTGATATGCTTTAAGGTATGTACAGTCTGACGGAAGAAATAAACATTTAACAACCAGCAGTCAGGAGGCAGTAGGTACTGTAGTTGAAGTTTAAGTAAAGGACTTTTGAAGAAACAGGATTACTTCTTGGCTTAGGGGATCAAAAAGTGACATTTGGGTCATTAATTTTACATTGAGAAATTTTAAGTGTCAAACAGACTAAATACTCATTTTTGTTGATCAGCCCATTCTTCTCTAGCCAGATTTCTATGGTAAACCAACTTTTAAGTAAAATGATATTTTGCATGCATAGAATCAGTTCAGGGGGATAGCTGCCCCATATCATCCATTTATAATAGTCTGAGAAATGATTATAATGGGTTTATAAGTGGGAAAGGACATCATTTGTAGATCAAGAACAACTTTTTCCTGGGACACAGTGCTGGCAACATACTGCCAACTTTTGTGTCTTTGGGCTTCTATTCTTAGGAGTATAAGAAAGCATTATCTTTCTAGGCACATGACTTTTCTTCAGTTATAGTGCTCTTTATTTATATAGAAGGTTTCTTTGTTTGTATCACAATGTAATGATACTGGCCTGTGATTCCATCCTGGGTACCGTGATTAGATTTGGGGATTCCTAAGATCTTTTTTTGAAGCCTAGGGTGGCCTGGTACTCTAAATCCTCCTGCCTCTGCCTCTTGAATGTTAGGATTATAGGCACCATGACACCCTGCTCTGAGACTTTTTTGTTCTACTGGATGGAACCCAAGGTGTAGTGAATGGTAAACAAGTACTCTACCACTGAGCTACATCCCCAACTTCCTAAGACTTCTTAATCACACACTGTTGTATATATATGAACTCTGTAGCCCCAAATATAGCAAGTTTCTTTTCTTTTTCTTTTTTCTTTCTTTTGGTGGCATCAGAGATTGAACTTAGGGATTTGTGCTTTCTAGATAAACAGAGAGTGTCTTACGCTTTTACCATGGATGGAGATCCTCTACCTCCGCCTTCTGAGTAGCTGGGATTACAGGCATGAACCACCATGCCTACCCTCAAATTTCATGTGTTTTAACTCTTCTTGATTTTTCCCAATCTCATTCTCAGAGAATAACCTTTGAGAGTACTTAGCTGTTAGCTACTAATACTAAAATTAATAACAACTAATATTTAAATTTACTGTATACCAGATGCTGTTGTAAGTGCTTTATATACATGAAATCATTTAGCTCTTCCTGAATCCCATAAGACAGGAATTACTATTAAATTCATTTTATAACACCTGTAGCTTCAGTTACTTGGGAGGCTGAAGTAGAAAGATTACTCAAAGACACAAGTTCAAGACCAGCCTGGAACAACATAGTGAGACTCCCATCTCAAAAAAAAAAAAAATCATTTTATAGATAAGAAACAATCACTGAAAGATTAAGTAACTTGCCCCAAGGTAACTCAGCTTTTATATGACATCCAGAATTCAGACCTGTACAGCCTGGTTTTAGAGCTCTTAACCACTCTACTGTATCTGGATAACAGTGTAGCACTTACTAAAATGTTTTAAGGCAGAATAGAGGGGACTCAGTTATTGGGGGTGGTGAGAAAGGATGAGGCCTCACGGGTAACTAGGTTTCTAGCTTCTGAAGGATAATACAGCATGTTATATCCTGAAAGGCAACCTGAGGAGAGGAGAAAGTTTCCCAAAGGAAGACAAGTGAGTTGACTTTTAGAAATTTTGAGTTCAAGATTTGCAGAAAATTGGAAAGTAAGATTTTATCTCAGTAGAGAAAGAAGAGGTTTAGTTGTAGTTTTTGTATGACTTAAAGATTAGGTAATTGAAACATCGGGGGTAGGAGACTTTGCCTGAGTCCACAGAAAAATGGTAGAAGAGAAGAGGCCCAAGATCCTATCTTGAGGAACTTAGGAACAGGTAGACAGGAAGAGAGAGGGTCAGCACTGCAGTAAGGCAGGGGGATAAGCTCAACCAAATTGTCTTCAGGTAGCATGCCTGGGTGGTTTATTTTTAGCATGCTTCTAATTAAATAGCTAATAGGATTCTGGGAAAAGTATAGTGAGGCTTAGTCTTAACAGCTTGAGAATCACCTTTGTAATGTTTGGAATGCTAAATACAAAGGTTCAGATTTGATAAGATAATATTTAAAACTGACTACAACTTCATTTTCTTCCTTTTTTTTTTTTCCTGGTACTTAGGACCTTGCATATGTTAGGCAAGTGCTCTACCACTTGAGCTACACCCCCAGCCCTTTTGTTTGTGTTTTGTTTTGTTTTTGGCAGTACTCGAGTTTGAACTCAGAGATTTGAACTTGCTAGGTAGGTGCTCTACCACTTGAGCCATGCCCCTAGCCCTGTTTTGCTTTAGTTATTTTTCAGGTAGGGTCTTGCATTTTTGCTTGAGATATGCCTCAGACCACTGTCCTACCTATAGCCTCCAGCATTGCTGGGATTATAGGTATGTGCCACCACACCCAGGTTATTGCCTGAGATGGGAATCTTGCTCACTTTTTGCTCTGACTGGCCTCAAACTGATCCTCCCAATTTCTGCCTCTTGAGTAGTTGGGATTACAGGTATGAGTCTCCTTGCATGAGCTATTATTTTGCTTTTTGGGACAGGGTCTTGCCACTGCCTTTACATGGGCTGGCCTCAAAGTCAAGATCTTCCTGCCTTGCCTCATGAGTGGAATTATAGGTATTTAGCTTAATTTTCTTGCCAGTTGACACTGTTAAGATTGATCAGGATTTACTTTTAATCATTTTGTGTTAAATGTTTGAAAAAAAAATACAACAACATACGAGTAGTAGTTTGTTTTTAAGACACTATGGTATTATCAGGTTGCTCCACCTCATTGATCCTTGATATTTTTGATAGGATAATTCTGTGTTGTAAGGGACTGCCGCATGTACTGCAGATGTTTATTAACATCCCTGGCCTCTGTTAGATACCAATAGTATCCCCCATCCCCCAGCCAGGAGTGACATTTGACTTTGCCAACTGTCCACTGGGAGGTAGAGGGTAAAATTGCCCAGTGGAGGACCATTGGTATAGGGGAAAAGCATGATGTTGAGAGCTGGACAGATACAACTCCTGGATCTGTCATATTTTGGTTGTTTAACATTGGGCGTGTCATTAATCTCTAAACTTTGGCATTCTCACCTGTAGATTGGGGAAAACACTCTCTGGTTATTAATAATAAATTAAGCAAAAGGATATCATAAAGTTACCTCATAAGCTATCTCATTTGGTAATTTCTTTTTAACTATTTGTTAAAATCTAGGGCTTCATTTTATGGTATATTAGCAGCATAAGTATCATTGAAGAGAAAGGTGAATTTTTTCAAAATTTAAATGAATGTTTATAAATCTCTAGAGGACAAAATCCATGTTAGGTCTAAAAGCAGTAAAAGAATACCCACGGCCAAAATTTTTTTTAATGAATGATCATATTTGGCTATAAAAAAGTGAGGGTAACCTAACTGGGTGTGTTAACATGTTGTAGCTACTAGGGTAGCTAAAGTAGGCAGATAGCTTGAGCCCAGGAATGTGGGACCAATTTGGACAATATACCAAGACTTTTTCTCATTAAAAAAAAGAGGACAACTAAAACTCCAAATAATTATTTCTCATAAATACAAGTATATTAATATTAACTTATAGGGAACACATGAAAATCGGTAAGACAAACACTAAAATGTCTAGTTGATAAATGACAAAAGATATGAGCAAATAGTATTTCCTCTTTTGTGAACTATCTATTCCATACCCTAACATACTCTGTTTTATTAGTTTTCCAGAATTTGTTAAGCCTTCTGTTTTTACACACTGCTGTTTTTAAGTCTCAAATGTTTTACCACGAATGTATGCCTGAGAAATTTCTCTTATTCTCCAAAAAGCTTTAAGCTAATTTCTGGGAAGCCTCTCCTGCCTTTCCCAGAAGGAGATTACTATTCTCTTGCTATTCCTCAAACTCTATTGACTTATAAGACTGATAAAAGTCTCATAAGGAGGAGGTATTATATATGCTGTTTTATCTTCTTCCTAGATCTGTTTTTTCTAAGAATCACCTAGAATGTAAACTCTAGAAGGATAGAAGTCTATCTGATGTGATCCTTTATTTCTAGCACCTAGAATATTGTGTATGTTTGATGAGTTGAAGTGCAAAGCAGGCCAGAGAATTGGAGGATATTGTTTGTAATTTTGAAAAGTCACTGGTTTTGATAATAAGCATGAACTATTAATTATAACAAGCTTTTATGTCATAAGCATTCTGAAATATCTTTGAAAATAGTAGCAGATTGTATGTAGAAGAGAAAATTAATGAAATCATAACCTGTCCTTTTATATAAATTACAGTGATTAAATTTAGAGATACTCCAAGGAACTTTAAAAAGTTATAAATGTTGGCTAGTTTTTTTTATGAATCAGGAGAACAAAATTCTTTATGAAAGTTAAATGCCTGTTTTTCATAAGCAAATTAACTCAGAAATAGAGGAACTAGTTAAATCCTGGGAAAGACCAAGTTACCTGATGAAACATAAAGATCTTTTGGTCTTTCCCCTGTGAAAGTATGAAAAAATATTTTAAAATGTTGCTTGTTTGCAGCCTACTCTAGAAAATCAGTAGTGAAATGCTGTAGGCCTCATTTGCCTCATCTTTCCTATTTCAGAGAAAATAATAAGCTCCTTCAAGTTAGGAAAGTGCACTGTGAGAGTCCTATAGATGACATTTCCTCTGAAAATGTTTCTACAGGTTGTCATCAGGTCCATGGGCTGGAATCTTGTTGGTCCTGTTGTTCGATGCCTTTTATGGAATGATAAGAATGATAAAAGAAAAGATTATCTTCTGATGCTTGATTTATTGGTAAAGGTAAGTTAAAACTAGGTACTTTTTGTCATAACGCACAGCAGTATTATAATTCTTTTTGATGTTTAATTACTGTTCTACAAGAAAATATTTAGTTCATGAAAATCACATGCAGAAAATAACTCTCTAGAGAAAAACTAATCTTATCTAATTGGAGGGGCAATTTCAGCATTTTCCAAATTTTCTGGATGTAAGAATTATGTAACTGCCAGGCAATGGTGGCTCACGCCAGTAGTCCTAGCTACTTGGGAGGCTGAGATCAGAAGGATTGCAATTTGAGGCAAGCCCAGGCAAATACTTTGTGAGACCCCATTTCCAAAATAACCAGAGCAAAAAGCCCTGGGTTCAAATCCAGTCCCACCAAAAAAAAAAAGAATTATCTAATCTTGCATTATACCTATAGATTCAGAATCTCCAAGGAGAGACTTGGGAAGCTATATTTTAACAAGTGACCTTAATGTGTACATTTGGAATTCAGTGTTTAGAGAGGCCACACTAATCTTTCTGTAACATTAGAACTAGAATCAAATATCAGCTCTTTCCCTCTGTGGAAATTCTTTTCAGTATATGAAAAACCTAGAATGCAAGTGATCACAATAGAGTTTGAATAGGAAATAGAGCACAGATCAGTTGTGATATAAGATCTTAGAAAGGGACTGTTGGTAAAAGGCTTGTAGAGTTTCAAGTTTATATGATGATTAAGAAAGATAAATTCTGAGAAAAAAGACATTATAAGAAACTGCTTGGAGATCAGTGCAAGTATGTACAAATATATATTTGGAAAGAGGAAGCTCCTTCTAGATATGAGGACTTTTTAAAAACAAATAGGCTAAGGATGTAGCTCAATGGTAGAAGTTCTTGTCTAGCATGTGTGAGGTCCTGCGTTCAATCCCCTGAACATGAAAAAAAGAAAAAATAGAAAATAAGGAGGTGAGATGGTAAGATGTGATCATTCAGAAAGCAATGCAAAGTTACATCTGTTCAGGGAGTACAGAAGATCCTGTGGGGTGGTCTAAATACCCTGACAGTGTGGGATAAGAAGGCTTACCTGCTGGAAGCCTTTGGCGTCTAAAGCAGCCTACCGAGTACACTGGTGAAACTTGAAGGAAATCCGAGCTCAGAAGATCAAGTTCTCCCTTTGCCTACTTGTTTAATTTTTACTTTTAACAGTTACGTAAGGCATTTTACGGTTAAGCAAAAATAATTGTATTTTTTGAGTACTTTCCTTCTTAAAAATAGTAATCATGTGGCTTTAAATGCAACTTGTATTAAACAGGTTCAATTGTGAATATTTTTATAGTTATGTAATCCAAAGGAATTATTGTTGGGTTTGCTTGAACTGATTGAAGAGCCCTCTGGAAAACAGATACCCCAAATTATTCTTCTTTTACTTCAACCGTTACAAACAGGTAATGAGCATTTTGATATCAAATATTTTTTATTTGTGTAAGTACCTTGATACTTACCCCAAAATGTGAATGTTCCACCAAAGTAAGGTTTTGGACAAATTATTGAATACTCTGCTTACACTAGTTATAGCAATGCTAATTTGAATCCTGCTGCTATGTACCTAGAAGAGTGATTATCAAATAGATATTTTGTTGAATGTCATACTATTTTCATGTGCTGTGTTGTAACCTATAGCTTTTTGGTAAGCCTTTCTATCTGCAGTTTAGATGTAGAATTTGTCCTGTAAGCATATTTATTTATTTATTTAGTTTAGTTTAGTTGAGGTACTGGGGTTTGAACTTAGGGGCTCCTGCTTGCTAGGTAGTAGTTGTTATTCCACTTGAGCCACGTCTCCAGCCCTTTTTGCTTTAATTATTTTCATACAGGATTTCATGTTCTGTGCCTGGTCTAGTCTGGACTTTGATCTTCCTGTGTATATCTCCCACATAGTTGGAATAAAAGATGTGAACCACTGTACCCAGCTTATTGGTTAAGATGGGGGGGGTCTTGCTATGTTTTTTGTTCAGGCTGGCCTCAAACTACAGTCCTTCTGATCTCTGCATCCTGAGCAGCTGGGATTATAGACATGAGCCACTGCACCTGCCTTCTTTGAAGCATATTTAAAAGGCTACATCTGTGGTGTCTGCACACCACAGATAGCATCTGTGTTTGTCCCATATCTTGGTTAAGAAAAGTATTAGGCAGGGCATTGCTTAGTCTCTGCATTGGGAGGTTGAGGTTAAGAATAACAAAGCTATGTCTGGAAAATGTAACTAGGACATATATGGAATGACAAAACTCCGTGGCTGAGCACAACAGGCAGTATTTATCCATGGGAAGAAGACATTTTTTCATTGTAAGAACCATAGATATCTCAGAGTGTAATGGAGGGACCTAGAATCAGAAATTAGAATAAATTCATTTTAAATATGAATACTCATTAGCTTTGCAGCACTTAAAAAATTCAAAATTCTCGAGGTAAAAAAAATGTAATATTCCCATTTGTATGGTGCTTATAGTTTAGCACTCATATTTTGTGCTTATAATAAAAAATATGAAAAGAATGTGTTTCTGTTTTAAGAATGTTATAAACATACCTAAATAAGATGTCCATAGCCTGTATTTAGGGTAACTTCATTATTTATGTACCACAAAGAAGGAAAAAAAAGAATCCCATTTAACCTATGGCATGTCATCCTGATATCAGAGTTGTTAATATTTGAGGAAAAAAGTGTCTTATAAATGAAAGTACTGAACTTCTTGTCCTATGTAGCAATACAAGTAACAACTTGGTCTCCCTTGTAGTGATTCAGAAACTTCATAACAACAAGGCCTATTCAGTTGGATTGGCATTGTCTGCTCTTTGGAGTCAAGTATCTCTTCTTCCTGTTCCATACTTGAAAGAACAAATACAAACAGATGACTACGGCCTTTATAAATGTTGCAAGGCCTTAATAGAGTTCACAAAACCTTTTGTGGAAGAAGTCATTGATGATAAAGAAAACAAGGAAAATGAAAAATTAAAAGATGAACTATTGAAATTGTAAGTATATTTTAAGAATATCCCCCAATGGAGTTAGGTAATTGGTAGTTCACTTACCTTATGCTTCTTTTTTGCAATGTAAATATAAATATAGTTTCAGATTTTGAATTTTAGAAGACTATGGGAATCAGCTGATGTAGCATGGGTATTTAATGGTGAATTGATGTATATGTATGTGTATATATATATTATTTGGCAGTACTGGAATTTGAACTCAGGGCCTTGTACTTTCTAGGGAGGTGTTCTGACTACTTGAGTCACAACCCCAGCCCTTTTTGTTTTAGTTACTTTTCAAATAGGGTCTCATCCAACTGGCCTGGACCAAGATCCTCCTATTTCTGCCCCCAGGTAGCTGGGGTAACAGGAACATACCACCACACCCTGCTTATTGGGCTAACTATTTGCCCAATCTGGCCTTGAACTGCAGCTTCCCAATCTCCACCTCCCAAATACCTGGGATTATAGGTATGAGCCACGTGTTGGCAGGCACTGATATTTTTAAAACCAAATATACTGACCTAATGAGGCATTGATATTATAAAATCAAATGCTTTATTTAATTTTCTTTATATTCTTTTTTGTATTACTTTTACTCACAGTAAGCAAATAATGAAAGTAGGGGGAATAGATGCATGTAACTCAAGGAATCTACTCTTTCTGTGGGAAAATGGTGTTTTAATTCTCCCTTTGAAAACAGCAGAAGAACTACTAGACAGCTGAACATCCAGCCTGATCACAAACACAGCATAGTCTTCATAGTCTTCACCCACTAGCATTCTCTCTAGGGGTATGATAAACATGCAAGGTTCAGTATGGCGTTCAAGTAGTTGACATATGGATGGTTCAAATTAAGATCTTCTAATTATAAAATACTCTTCGGACTTTGAAGACTTAATATGAAAACAAAAACAAAATAATGTGGTGTAATCCTAGAACTTGAGGGGCTAAAGCAAGAGTATCAAGAGTTCAAGGTCATCCAAGGCTTCATAGAGAGTACTTGGTTAGCATGGGCTGTATAGCCAGACCCTGTCTCAGAAAACAAAAATAAAAACAGAAACACAACAGAGAAAGATAGTAAAATGCCTCAGTAATTTTTATATACTGATAATATGTTAATGTATTTCAGATATATTAGACTAAGGTCAATTTTTTTAAATTAACTTCTGTTTCTTACGACTTTCACTACTTTTTTTCATGTGACTAATGAAAAATCTTATATATGGAATTTACCTTATGTATCTATTGAATAGTGCTGAACTAGATTGTTGAATTACATGAACCAGTAATTTAGTTTCTTTAATTGTGGCGATTAAAACTGTTGTTAGCTTTCTATTTTGTCAGGTTAAGACACTTAAAAGATGTTTGCTATTTATGAAACCCATTAAACAGGAAAGGTTTAGTCAGAGAATAAAGTTTGTTTTTTTAAAAATAAAACAAATGCAACTTTATGAAAAAATTACTACATTGTCCTGATTTTTCCTTGAACTGATGAAAACTACATCTTAGACTAGCACTGATACTCAAACAAACATTGAGAATTTACTGGAATAGTCCAGACACAGAAATCAATCTTACTAGAGGCTGGAGGTGTGACTTAAATGGTACAAAGTGCTTGCCTAGCAAGTGAGAGGCCCCTTGTTCAACTCCCAGTGGTGCCAAAAAAAGAAAGAATCTCACCATGTTGATTTTAGAAAGGTTCTCTTCATTATTAGTAAGAAAGATAATTCATCACATTTTATGGACCTTGAATTATTGGCACTTGTCTTAGTTCATTTTTTGCTGCTAAAATTAATAATACCTGGGGGCTGGTGGAGTGGCTCAAGGGGTAGAGTGCCTGCCTAGCAAGTGTGAGGCCCCAAATTCAAACTCCAGTATCACCCAAAAAAAAGAAAAGAAAGAATTCCTGAGACTGGGTAATTTTTAGTGAGTAGAAAAATATTGGCTTACATTTCTGAAGATTGGGAAGTCCAAGAGGTGCTGAAATCTGGTGAAGGTCTTGCTGCATCATGACATGAAGAAAGGTGGGAAAGTAGAGAGAGACAGGGCCCTATTTAAACAGTATTTGTCCTTCCTGTGAGAGTAGAGCCCTCCTGGCCTAGCCATCTTATCAAAAGTCTCATCACTGGCAATTAAATTTCAGCATTAGTTTTAGAAAAACATTCAAACCATAGCAGTGCATATTTTATTTTTCTTGTTAAATTAGATTTTAAAAAGTAGGCATTTTATACCTTGGAAGTATTGATTTCATAGTTAACTATTGCTTATGCTTTAGTTGTTTCAAAAGCTTGAAATGCCCTTTGCTGACAGCACAATTCCTTGAACAGTCTGAAGAAGCTGGAAATGATCCTTTAAGGTGTTTTGCATCTGAAATAATAGTAAGTACAGTCAATTTAATCTGTAAGATTTGCTATACCCTCATACATTATTCTGCTGTATTTTCGTGTACTTCATATCAGCATGTAAATTGATAATTTACTAATAAGGCAATATGTGGTTTTTATAGAGTACAGATAAGCAAATAAGGGGAGAATAAAATTGCAATAATTTCATTATCCATAGACAAATACTATTAATGCCTTCTAGACCTTTTTTCCTACTTATAAGTAAGAAAATGTATACAGCTATGTATCATAGATACTTTAGTAATCTATGTACTTTTTCTATACTTTTTCTCTTCACATTATATATATTTCCATTGACTTAATAGTATTCCATGGTATGGAGTAATTTTCCATTATTATCAACTCTATCTTGTATCTTTCTTTAACTGGTAAGTCTGGAATAAGTATTCTTGTAACCATGAAAGCATTAGTCAGGAGTGCTGAGCATTCAACTATGATTGGAAACAGTTGAATTAATAATCTATATTTTTGTATGATTTCTCTGGTAATATTCACCTACCATTGTGTAAAAATAGAAAAGGTGGATTGTAGCTATATTTTTGTTCTTTTTTATTATTTTATTAGCATATAACAGTTGTACAGGGGGATAAGTTGTAATATTTACATAGGTGTTTACAGTATTTCTTAGATTTACCCTCTCCATTGTTCTTCCTCTTTCCCCTTCTCCCCTTCTTAGAACAATTTCACCAGATGCCATTCTTCTGTTTTCATGTATGGATACAAAATACATCTGCCATATTTACCTTCATTCCCTGCAGTTTTGTGCCCACTCACCTCCCACTGGTATCCACCCATGGAGAAGACCTATTTTTCCTTCCTGCACTTCTTTTTTTTTTTTTAAGTGTATATTGATAGTCCAAGGGGGTTTCACCTTGGTACTTTTTAGGCTAACATTTTTCTAGGTAGATTAGCTAAAGGAAATACAGGGTGTAAATAGTTCAAATGATCAATAATGTGTGGTCCAGATTGGACAGGAAAAGGAGGTTCTAGATGAGTAGGTAAAAGTGAAGGGTTCACAGGACTAGAGAAGTCAAATGGAAAAGCAGATTAGTAGGAGAGAGAATAAGAGGCTGTGGTCAGAAAATGGGATATTGAAATTTAAGGTGGCTAGAATAGCTCCACATGTTGACAGAGATTCGGGATAGGATAAGGCGCTGAAATGCATTGGAAGTAAAAGTCACTAGAATTTAAAATCAAGAACCACAAGGGTGGCCTGTTATAAGAGTTATCTACATGAACATACAACTTTCCCAGGATCGTAGCAGAAGTTGAGTAGAGAGGAAGATTGTGAGCAGGTGCCAAGATGTTCAGTTAATGTGAGGAAATGACTAAGAAGTTAGCAAATGACAGAGAAAAAGACAGTTATGGCATCTGCCCCAAAGGAAAATGTGCTTTTCTGAAGAGTACAGAAAGAGCCAAGATAATACTAATTCCTCTGTTCATACCACTGTCCCCCACTATTGTCTTCTGGCTCTGCAGTGTAAAAGGTGTGAGAGAATAAGCAGCTCCTCTCACCAGAAGTTTAATTAATATAAGACAGGTTTAATTAACATAAGAGGTTGAGGATGGAGGAGGATTCGAAGCTTTCAGAAGAAGGAGCATCACAAGTAGAGCCAGCAGTGGGGAAACACAAAGTAGTTGAGAAGCAGGGATAAGATCAGGTAGATGAAATGAAGAAATGGTTTCCCTTCTAATGCTGGAAAGTGTGGTGTGGTTGAGATTGACTGGCTTCAGCCACCTTTACTTTGGCACAAGTTATTTAGGTACAGAACTGCTTGAATGTCTCAAAGGCTACATCAGAGAAACATTCCTGAAAGGACATGCCTAGGTCTGGGCAAGACTGCTGGATGGTGTGTGGATGGAAAGTAAAATCTGATTTGGACACAGGGTGTACCTCAAATACTCTTCAAAGTATTTGAACTAGAATCTAGTTACGCATGTTTTTTTGTTGTTTTGGGGGGTTTTTTGGTGCTACTGGAGTTTGAACTCAAGGCTTCACACTTGCTAGGCAGGTGCTCTTACCATTTGAAATATTCCCCCTTCCCTTTTTTGTTTTCATTATTTTTTGGATAGGGTCTTCTGTTTTTGCCCAGGGCTAGCCTGGGACTGCGCTTTATACCTATAGCCTCCCATGTAGCTGGGACTATAGGTGCATGCCACTACTGGCTTGTTTGTTGAGATGGGATCTCAATATCTTCTTGCCTGGGCTGTCCTCAAATTGTGATTGTTCTGATCTCTGCTTCTCAAGTAGATAGGATTATGGGCATGCACCACCATACCTGACTCATAATGATGATTTTTTTTATTGTTTTTTTATTCATATGTGCATACAAGGCTTGGGTCATGATGATTTTTTTAAAAGCTATCTTACTGTGGAAAAAATACATGTGGCATTGTCTGAATGAAGCACTGGAGCTTCATAATTAAGAGGACATTTGGAATCTGAATGCAATAAATTTTTGGCTCATAACTATAACAAGAATAAATGGCTTTTTTTGTTTAAAGGTTCCAAAAGCTTTATTGTTATAGAGCAGTGCTTCTTAAAGTTTAATGTTCAAATAAATCCTGCGGGGCTCTTGTTTAAAATGCAGACTCCTATTGAAAGGTTAGAGGTGGGACCTAAGAACTTGCATTTCTAATAAAACCCTGGTAGTGCTGGTGAATGCATGGCTTTTGAAAAACATGTAGAAGTACATGTTTACTTATTTATGTATTTTATATTTTATTATATTATTGTTGTACTGGGGGTACATTATGACATTTACAAAAATTCTTACAATATATCATAGTTGAATTCACCCCCTCCATCATTCTTCTTTATTGTCCTCTACCCTATTCCTGGAATAGTTTCAAAAGGTCTCACTTTTCCATTTACATATATGAGTACATATTTTTCACCACAGTCAGTCTCCTACACCCTTTCCTTGTATCCTCCCCAATCTTACTGGTACCATCCCCCAAGACAGGACCTGTTTTGCCTTCCTGTTCTCCCATTTTTGGAAAAAAAAAAAAAAAAAAAAAGACATTTTTGTTTGTTTAAGATAACAGTATGGGGTGTTTCATTGTGACACTTCCATGTATATATGTTTTATTACCTGAATCGGTTCATCCTTCTATTTTTCTCCTTTCTACTTTAGTCCCCTTCTTTAGTTTAAAAAATTCTATGTTCTTATTTAGAAAGTACATCAACCATATTCACCTTAACTTCCTTTTATCCTCCCTCTCCCATCAGTGACCTCCCATTAGCACAACCTGTTTTTTGTAATATTGCTTGTGTTTGTATTAGGTATCTATTCCATGTATGAGAGAAAACATGTGGCCTTTGGCTTTCTGAACCTGGCTAACCTCACTTAAGAGGATGTTCTCCAGTTCCATCCATTTACCTGTAAACAACAAAATTTCATTCTTTATGGTTGAATAAAATTCCATTGCATATAAATATCACATGTTCTTAATCCATTCATCAGAAGTGGGGCATCTTGACTGTTTCTGTAGCTTAGCTATTGTGAATAGTGCTGCAATAAATATGGGTGTGCAGGTGTCTTACTGTAATCTGACTTACATCCCTTTGTGTATATCCCTGGGAATAGTATTGCTGGATCATATGGCAGTTCTATTTTTAGTTTTCTGAGGAGCCTCCATACTGTTTTCCATAGTGGTTATACTAATTTACATTCCCACAAACACTGTATGAGGGTTCCTTTCCCCCACATCCTCACCAACATTTGTTACTGTTTCTGTTCTTGATAATAGCCATTCCGACAGGAGTAAGGTGGAATTTCAATGTGGTTTTTGATTTGCATTTCCTTTATGGCCACGGATGTTGAGCATTTCTTCTTGTGTTTTTTGACCATTTCTTCAGAGTTTGAAAAAACTATTTAGTGGGTCATTGATTTTTTTTTAGCTTAATTCCTTATCAGATGCATATCTGGCAAAGATTTTCTCCCATTCTGTTGGCAGCTTTTTCAGTTTGGTGACCATTTCTTTTGTGGTGCAGAAGCTTAAGAAATTTCATGTAGTTTCATTTGTCAATCCTTTCTCTTAGTTGCTGAGCCATTTGAAGTTCTATTTAGAGAATTGTTGCCTATGCCTATTAGTTCCAGTGTTCTCCCTGCTCTTTCCTGCACTAGCTTCAAAGTTCAAAGTTTCAGGTCTTATATTAAGGTCCTTAATCAACTTTGAGTTGATACTTGTACATGGACATCATGCAGATATCCAGTTTTCCTAGCAATATTTGTTAAAGAGGCTATCTTTTCTCCATTGTATGTTTTGGGCATCTTTGTCAAAAATCTGGTGGGTATAGTTGCATGGATTCATATCTGGGTCTTCCATTCTGTTCCATGGGTCTTCATGTCTGTTTTTGTGCCAGTATGATGCCACTTTTATTGACATGGCTCTGTAGTACAGTTTGAAGTTGTTGTTATGATATCTCCAGCATTGCTCTTTTTGCTCAGTATTACCTTGGATATTTGCAGTCTTTTGTACTTCTAAATGAACTTTAGGGTTGATTTTTCAATCTCTATGATGAATGTCATTGGAATTTTGATGGGGATTGTATTGAACATGTAGATTGCTTTTGGTAATATAGCCATTTTCACAATATTAATTCTGCTAATCCATGAGCATGGGAGATCTCTCTATCTTCTGTAGTTTTCTTTGATTTCTTTCTGCAGTGATTTATAGTTTTCACTGTAGAGGTCTTCACTTCCTAGAAGTACATATTTATTAGCATCTGGGCAGTCTCTGTGACTGAGGATGCTGGCCCATGGTTCCTTTTTGTGTAACTTCTGGGACTCTCTGGCATCAGTAGACTTTAACTCTCCAAGGGCTGGAAAAATCTTTTTTGGCTTTTTAATTCTCTACCATGTCAGGCTAAAGTGCCTGGTGCTAAAGTGTTTACTGAATGAAAGATCGAATATGTGGAAGGTAGGTATTCGTTCTGCTTTACCTATTGTTCTCATTCCTTTTTAACTTCTGTATGGTGGTTTATAGTGACCTTACTTTTCTTAAACTTTTTTGTGTTGCTGTTAAATATTTAGTATAATGTCTAATATCTCAAGGCTTAGAGGTTATGTAACCACCCCATGCCACACAGTAAGTGGTAGAACCTAAACTCAAAATCAATTCTAATATCTGGGCACATTTATAGTTCCATCTACTTGGAAGGCCGAAGCAGGAGGATCATAAGTTCAAAGCCATTCTGAGCTACGTAGAAAGACCCTGTGTCAAACAAATGGGTAAAAATACAACATAAAACTTAACCTTTGTAACCATTTTTAGGTGTACAGTAGGATTAAGTACATTTGCATAATTGTGCAGCCCTCATCATCATCCGTCTCAGGAGCATTTTTATCTTCCCAAATACTACCCATTAAATACTTCTCATTCTCCCTCTCCATATCACCCGACAACCACCTCTACTTTCTGTCTCTGCCTAAAACACTTAATTTGAAATGATTTTCTTTTCTTCACTTCAGAGCCTTCATCCAGCAATTAGGTCATTTGACTGCCAATAAAACTCATTTGTGTGTCTTTGAATTGTGACTCAGTTAATTTAGAAACCATATAACCATATAAATGCTTAAATATGATTTTGCTGTTGACTTCTGTATTAGTTTTTTACTGCTGTATAACAATTTACTACAAATTTAGCAGTTTGAAACAACACATTGTTATCTCACAGTTTCTCTGGATCAGAAGTCTGGTAATAGCCTGGGTGCTCTTCTCAGGTCTTACTAGGGTACAGGCCAATTGTTGATGAGCCTGCGGTTTTGTTTTGTTTTGTTTTATTTTTCTGGTGGGACTCAGGGTTTGAATTCAGGGCTTCACACTTGCAAAGCAGATACTCTTCCATTTGAGCTACACCTCCAGTCCCCTTTGCTCTGGTTATTTTGAAGATGGGGTCTTGCAAACTGTTTGGGCTGGCTTCAAACCATGATCCTTCTGATCTCAGCCTCCTAAGTAGCTAATATTACAGGAGTAGGCCCCTGGCAACCGATGTGAACCTGCACTCTTATTGGATGCTTAACTAGGAAAAGAACCATTTCCAAGTTCCTGCATGCTATTTGCAGAATTCACTTCCTTAAATTATAGGACTGAGGTTCCCATTTTCTTGCTAGTGATCAACCAGAGATAGCTTTGAGCTTATAGAGACTTCCTTCAGTCCCTTTGCCACATAGCCCCATCTATAGGTTCTGTCATAACATGATGGCTTAGTTCTTGAAACCAGAAAGAGAGTTTCTACTCTCAAGGAAGCCCTAGGTCCTCTTTAAAAACTTTCTGCCTTAGCTGGGCATGGTAGCTCAAGCTTCTAATCCTAGCAGCTCAATAGGTGGACATTGGGAGATCGCTATTTGAAGTCAGCCCAGGTGAAATGTTTGTGAGACCCCCATCTCAACCAATAAAGGCTGGACGTGGTGCACACCTGTCATCCCAGTTACGCAGGAAGCAGAAATAGGAGGACCAGGCCAACCCAGGCATAACCTGAGACCCTTCTCAAAGATAAACAAAGCAAACAGAGCTGGGGATAATGGCTTAAGTGGTAGAATGCCTATCAACAAAGTGTAAGGCCTTGAGTTCAACCCCCCTCTACTGGAAACAAAACAAAACAAAAAACCTTTCTGCCTGGGAGAATCATGATTGGAGGCAAGCCTGGGCTACCCTATCCCAAAACAACAACAACCACAAAAGCACTCCATAACACCTGCTGCTGCCTAACTCAGGCTTTCTCAGCATAGTCTCACGTCAGAGTAACTCAAGATAACCTGCTTAGAGACTTTATATCTGCAGAAATGCTTTCGCTTTTGACATATAATTAATCATGGGGGTGACATTCCCCGTGACTAAAAGGAAGTCTCTCAGGTCCCACACATTCTCAAGGGAAGGGGATGTGGAAATGGGGTTAGAGTCTGTCTGCTATAGCTTCCTTTTTTTTTTTTTTAACCAATTTCACAGGGTTTTTTATCAGCAATTGGACACCCTTTCCCCCAAATTATTTTTAATCATGGAAAGAGAAAGAAAACTTGGGATTACCTTGAATTTGAGGAAGAAGAAGACAAACAATTAGCAGACTCTGTGGCTTCTCTGGCATATCTAGTATTTGTTCAGGGCATCAGTATTGATCAACTTCCAATGGTGTTAAGGTAAGAGTGGTTTATTTATGTATTCCAAAAGAAGTGTCAGACTCTCATTTATCTCGTATCTAGTATTTGTGTATTAACAGTACATGTGAAGATGACAGAGTAGAGGCAACTTGCACTTTCCTTTATCTCCATGAGTCCCAAACAAAATGTCAAGTGTGTGGCTGCAGGGAAAGATGGGTGGTGTGGAAAGGCACAGGAGCACAATAAACAGTAGAGAGAGACTAGGTGAAAGCCAGAAATACCGAACATTAGATTTGTAAAAGGAACAACAGACCCCAACACTGGGTGCTAGGCAAAGTGGTAGGAAAGGAGGATAATTCACCCCCTTTCTTGCCCCCAGCCAGGCTTTAAACAAAAGAGGAAAGGAGAGCCTCAGCAAGCTCCACAGGCACACACTCTGGCACTCTGCAAAAATATAGTTTAAAATGCAAGATCTATTTGAGTAGCAAGCAACAGGATGCTAGAGAAGGGATTCTGCACTTTCTTGCTTGCTCACCAGTTTAGGAGAGGTCTTATGGTCAAATTTTTCTGCCAGTGGTACAGAAGCCCCTGCATTTTTTATATCTCTAAGCCCCAAAGGCATCCCCTCTCCAGTGAGCAAGCAGCTGACCACCCTGAGAATCAGTGTGGGCCTAGAAAACTGCTTGTGACTTAGATACACACCCAGGGACACAAATCTACATAGTGCAAAGTGCAGGCCACACTGCAGAGGGAAGTGGAGGACACTTACAGCAAGGAACTGTAACACAACCTCTGGCAGGAGGAACAAAACCAGCTGTGTGTGACTATAAGCATAGGGCTGGGTCAGAGACCCATGGGGTCAAAGCATGCAGGATCACTTAGTTCCCATGCCCACAAATAGCTTTATTCTGACTGCATTCTGACTCTCATACCCACCCCCATGACATATGGTGGGGAAGGGCAGCTGTTGTATTGGTCCAGCATTCCCCATGCATGAGTGTGCACTGGCAGAGCACCTTTGGTGTAAGGGGCATCCAGTTGGGTGGTTGGTCTTGGGACTCAACAGGTGGGAGCACAGCTTCTACACTTGCTACATTGGCAGGAATTCAGTCCAGCGGTGATCACAGTTGTGTAGTGTGCCCTGAACAGGAAAAATAGGGTAGGGCTTTGCCTGCAAACAGCCCTCTCTTATCAAACCTCTTTGGACTTCGAGAGAAAATGACTCAGTTACTAACCCCCCACCCCCTGCCGATGCGCACACAGACACCAGGTAAACTGCAAAACTGATAAGCCTAGGGAAAACATAGCATCTTAGTTCTCCATCTCCTCAGCAAGAAAAAAATATTGATTGATCTTTTTTAAAAATTGGTTTGTTTTGCTCTGTATTTGTTATATTGTGTTTTTCCTTCAATTTCATACTTTCATCCCATATACTTTTTATCTCCTTCCTTTTTTTTTTTTTTTTTGTGGTACTAGAGTTTGAACACAGGTCCTTATGCTTGCTAAGCAGGCACTGTAGCACTTGAGTCACACCTCTAGCCCTTTCACTCCTGTTATTTTTTGAGGAGGGTCTTGCTTTTTTGTCCAGGTTGGCCTGGACTGATCTTCCTGTTTATACTTCCTGCATGGCTGAGATGACAGATACATGCAACATTGCCTTGCTTTTATTGGTTGAGATGAGGTCTTGCTGACTTTTCGCCCAAGTTGGCCTCAGTCCACAATCCTCCTTATTTTTGCCGCCCAAATAGCTAAGATTATAGGCTTGAGGTACTGCTTCTGGTATCTTTTCTCTTTTTCCTTTCCCCATCATTCCTTCTTCTTCTTCTTCTTCTTTTTTATTCAGTCCTGTTTGAAACTAGCCCACATGCTATGCCACGCTACAAAGCTGTGAGGCAGCTTTAGTATCACTTTCCCTCCTTTTACAACCACCAAGACCAGCATTCAGATCTGATAGGAAAGGGAACCAGAGGGTTCATTTCTTCTTTTTGTATTACTTATTAACACTTGTGCCTTTACTAATTTTTAAATTCCTAGTTTTTTATCCTAGCTCCTTTCCATCCTTTCTTTAATAGGGGTAAAGTTGTAGTTTTCAATTTATTTAAATTATATTTAAATATTTAGTTTGTTTTTTAATTGTTACTGTAGCCTCCTTTCTCTCTTCTGAGTGGTAATAGGGATTGAGACTTCAAGAAGAGGCTGCTCTCTAAGACCTCTAAATGAAACTAGAAGAGATACTCCTCTCACAGTAGAACAGAATATGACTCCTTTGTAACTGAATTCTCAGACCTTGAAATGATTGAAATGCTGGACAAAGAATTTAAAAGTCTAGTTTTAAACTGAGCATTAACCTTCAAGTGTATTCAAATAACAGATGAATGAAGTAAAGAAGTCTTTCCATTAAAGACTTGGACAAGCAGAGAGATAGAGATTCAGGGTGAAAAAATGTAAATCTTCAAAATGAAAACGCCAGTAAATAAAATAACCAGTTAAAAGCATCACCAGTAGAATAGATTAAGCAGAAGAAAGAATATCAAGGATTAAAGATGAGATTGAGGCACTATTACATTCAGATAGCATTAAAAAAAAAAGTTTAAAGCATTCATGACCATAGCTTTCAAGAACTCTGGGACACAATCAAGAAATCAAACCTAAGAAATCTTGCTGTAGAAGTTGTAGCTGAGATACAAACAAAGAGCATGGAAAACCTAATCAATAAAATAATAGTTTAAATTTTCCCAAATGCAGGGAAAGTAGTAGACATTCAAGTACAAGAGGCATTCAGAACACTAGATCGATGTGACCAGAAAAGAACCTTTCTACATCAAATTATTTTTAAAACGTCAAGAGTACAAATGAAACAATATTGAAAGCTGCAAGAAAGAAGCAACAAGTTACTAACAAAGGCAAGCTCATCAGAATTACAGGAGACCTTTCAGCAGAAACCCAAAAAAGCAAGGAAAGCATGAATGATGTATTTCAAGCTGAGAGTAAATAACTGCCAACCAAAATTAGTATATCCAGCAAAGTTATCTTCTAAAATTAATGAAGAACTGAAGACCTTCCAAGATAAGCACAAACTAAAGCTATTTATTACCACTAAGCAAGCATTGGAGAAGATATGTAATAGACAGTTAACAATCACAAGAACCCGAGGCAGAATAATTTCATAAGACTAGATGAACAAATGAGAATTAGGAAAGAATGAAACATTTTTAGCTTAGTAAACCCACAAACTTTTGAGATGAATAGTGAGAATACAGATTACTCAAATCAACCAACAAAAAAACCAACAAAATTAGAATTAGCACACATCTTTCAGTAATAACACTACATGCAAATGGTCTTTATTCTCTAATTAGAAGAGCTAAGATGACTATTGTAGTAAAAAAAACCAAGATTCAACTACCCAAGAAACACCTCACTTGGAAGGACACACAGACTGGGAGTGAAAGGATGAAAATCATATTCCAAATAAATGGAATCTGAAAGCAAGCTGGAGGAGCTATACTCATACCAGACAAAATAGACTTCAAGGCAAAATTAGAAGAGGTAAGGTCATAACACTAATAAAGGGAGCAAAGCATCAAGAAGAAATAACAATTGTAAATGAACATGCACTGAACATTAGTGCACCCAATTTCATGAAACAAGCACTACTGCATATAAATGAAAAGATTTTTCCTAATACAATAATAGTGCATGATGTCAGTACCCCACATTCATCATACATAGATCAACCATACAAAAAATTAATAGAACTTCAGTGTTAAACTGTACCATAGATCAAATGGACTTAACAGACATCTACAAAATGGTCTACCAAACAGTTACAAAATAAATATTCTTTTCCAAAATAGATCATGTTTTAGGTCATAAAACAAGTCTTAACAATTACAAAATATTGAAATATTTGCTCATATCAAATCATGACAGAATAGAACTTGAGATCAGCAGTAAGAGAAATTATATAAACACATGTATCATTTAAACACTTGAACAGTCAATAGATCATTGAAGAGATCAAGCAGGAAATTTTAAAATTCCTAAGTTCAAATGGAATTGAAAATGCAACTTACCAGAACCTTTGGGATACAATGAAAGCTGTTGTAAGAGGGAAATTTATAGCTCTGAATGTCCTAATGATACCTCACAGTCTTACAAAAACAAGAACAAGCCAAAAAAAAATTTAGTAGAAAGAATAAAGATCAGGTTCGACATTTTAGTAGAGATTAACCAAAGGATCAGTAAAAGGGTTGGTTGTTTGAAAAGATAAAGAAGATTGACAAACCCTTACCCAAACTACCTGAAAGCTGAGAGAAGACCCAAATTAATAAATTTGAATTGAAGAGGGAGAATATTTTGTAAACTTATGTTCCAGTAAATTGGAAAATCTAGAAGAAATGGATAAATTTCTAGGTACATACCAGAATTGAACCAAGAAGATATAAACAGTAGTAATAAAGTCTCCCAAAAAAGAAAGGTCCAAGGACTGGATGGATTCACTGCTGAATTCTGTCAGACTTTTACCATGATTTTGTTGGTGGTGGTAGTGGGGTTTGAACTCAGGGCTTCATGCTTGCAGGGCTTCATGAATTCAGGTGCTCTACAAATTGAACCACACCTCCAGCCCCATCTACCAGACCTTTAAAGAACTAATGCTAATGTTCCTCAAACTACTCCATAAAATAGAAATGGCAGGAATGCTTCCACATTCATTCCATGAAGCCAGTATTACCTTGATAACAAAAACAGGTAAGGATGCAAGGGGAAAAAAAAAAACAGTATAGACCAGTTTCCTTGGTAAATATAGAAAAATTCTCAATAAAATACTTGAAACCAAGTCCAACAACACATTAAGAAAATTACACAACAAGAACAGATTGGTTCCAGTCCAGGGATGCAAGGATGATTCAACATTTGCAAGTCCATAAATGTAATATAGCACGTAAATAGAATCAAGAAAAATATATGATTATCTTAATAGGTGCCGAAATTGTTGCTGGACAAAATTCAGCAACTCATCGTGGTAAAGGCCCTGGAAAAAGAAGGAATAGAAGGTCCACGCTGAAACATAGTAAATGTTAAATGTATAACAGCCTAATAGCCAACTTTATACTGAATAGGGAAAGCTGAAAGCATTTCCTCTAAATTCAGGAACAAGACAGGAGTATCCATTCTCACCACTCTTATTCAGTGTAGTGCTGAATTCCTAGCTAGAGTAACAAGGCAAGAGGTAAAAATGAAAGCCATGTAAATAGGAAAGGAATTTCTCAAATTAGCCCTATTTGCAGATGATAGGATCCTATATTTAAAAGACCCTAAAACTACTAGAAGACTCTAAGATCTGAAAAATGTATTTTAGTAAAGTAACAGGATACAAAATCAATACAGAAATCAGTACCTTTTCTTCACCAATAACAAAATTGCTGAGAAAAAAAAATCACGAACATAATCCCATTCACAATAGCCTTAAATAAATTAATAAAATACCTAGGCATAAACTTAACCAAAGATGTGAAGACCTCTACAATGAAAAGTATAAAGCATTGAAGAAAGAAATTGAAAAAGAAACTAGGAGATGGAAATGCCTGTGATGTTCATAGATCAGCATGATTAATGTGAAGGTTGCCACTACAGATTCAATACACTTCCCATGAAATTTCCAATTTGTGGTTTTATACAGAAGTAGAGAATATAGCCCTAAAATTCACCAGAAAGCACAAAAGACCCCAAATAACCAAAGCAATCCTAACGGGGGAAAAGAAACAATATTGGAAGTATCATAATACTGACTTCAAACTAAAGGGCACAGTAATAAAAAACAGTGTGATACTGGCACAAAAACATTCACATAGACCCAACAGATTAGATGACCCAGAAATAAGCCCATGCAGCAAGAGCTATCTGATCTTGACAAATTACCAAAAGTATACATTGAGGGAAAAAATGGCCTCTTTAGCAAGTGGTGCTGTGAGAACTGGATATCCCTATGTAAAAGACTGAAAGTAGATCCCTCTCATTCAGAGTGATTAAAAATCAACTCAAAAAACAATGAAATCTTAATGTAAGACCTGAAACTCCGAAACTCCTAAAGGAAATATAGGGAAAACACTTAAAGATATTGGCACAGGCAATGACTTTCTGAATAGGATACTCATAGTTCAGGAAATAAGATAAAAAATTGGCAGATGGGATTGCATCAAATATGAAAGCTTCTGCATAGCAAAAGAAACAATTATCCACTATGAAGAAACAGCCTACAGAATGGAGGAAGATGTCAGGTGTTCATCATACAGGGTATTAAAATTGAAAATACATAGAGAATTCAAAAAGTTAGGCCAGGCGTTGGTGGCTCACGCCTGCAATCCTAGCTACTCAGGAGGCAGAGATCAGGAGGATCTCAGTTCAAAGCCAGCCTAGGTAAATAGTTCACAAGACCCTAGCTCAAAAAACCCTTCACAAAAATAAGGCTTGGTGGAGTGGGTCAAGGTGAACGCCCTGAGTTCAAGCCCCAGTTCTGCAAAAAAAAAAATTAAACACCAACAGAGTGTTAATAATCCAATAAATGATTGAATGAACTGAACAGACAGTTCTCAGAAGAAGTAAAAATGGCCAATAAATACATGAAAAAATGTTTAACACCATCAGGGAAATGCAGGCCAAAATCTTCATATAAAGATTCTGTCTCATCCAGGCAGAATGGCTAATCATCAAGAAAAAAAAAAATGCTGGTGAGATAGGAACCCTTGTACACTGTTGGTGGGACTGTCAACTAGAGCTGTCACCATGGAAATCACGGAAGTTCCTCAAAGAAGTAAATAAAGAACTACCCTATGATCATGCTGTATGACTCCTGAGCATATGCACAAAAGAATCAGTCAGCTGATTCTTCAACTATAGAGATTGCTGCATACCCACCCATGTTTATGGAAGCAGTATTTGCTATAACTAAGTTATAGAATCAACCTAGGTCCCCACCAGTGGATGAATGGATAAAGAAAATGTGATGTGTATATACATATATGTGTGTATGTGTATAAATATATATATATATAATAGTATGCCAATGAAAACCTACCCACATGCTATATGTTATATTTTATTTAAAATAAAGTATAACAAGGGCTATTTAAAAAAGTGACAGTGGCTATCATCAACTCCAGAAATGGTCAAGTATTGAAAAAGTTGGGTGCTAAAATATGTGTAAGGGCATTGAGAAACTCCTTGAAACATTTCCTTAGATATTAATAATGAAAGACAGGACTGTAAAATAGGTACAGTGTGTGTGTGTGTGTGTGTGTGTGTGTGTGTGTGTGTGTGTGTGTGTGTGTGTGAGGGGTACTTGTGGGAGGGTAAATGAAGGTAGATGGACCTCATACTTACATGAAATATAACAAAGAAATCTTGTGCAACTGCTGTAAGTGGGGTAGGGAAGGGGTCAAGGGGGAGAGACGGTGGGGTGATGTAACCAGTATGCAATATTTGGAATTGTCACAGTGAATCCCCCTTGTACAATGAATATATCCTAATTTAAATAAAATGTGTAAGGAGACAAGAAGCATAAAATATTTAGTTAGTCTTGGTTTTGGGAGCCACTCTGGACTACAAGAAGTGGAACTAGTTGGGTACTCATGGTTACCATCATGTCGTCACTGGGTTACTGCCACAATGCTGAGTGGGTACTTACAAATCTACTTTCACTTCTGTTTAATCCAACCCATTCTCAGCACACTAGAAAGTGAAGCTGTAAGTAAGCCCCTTACTGAAAACCCTTGAGTGGCTTATTGTTCTTTGAGTAAAGTTTAAAAGCTTTCACCGACTCCTGAGGAACTTCTGCATGATCTTGGCTGCAGTACATTGTCCTTATTCATCTGTGCTTCTATGACAGACCTTCTTTGAGTATTTTATTCAAATGTGTTGAAAAACTTCCTACTAGAGGGACTTTGTATGTGCTAAGAACTGTCTTTATTCTTACATGTCAGTTTCTTAGTGAAGCTTTCTCTCATCGAGTTTAGGTTGAATTCTCCCATAAGAATTATTTTGACTTTGCCCTTTTCCCATAAGTTTGTTAGAATCATTTAAAAATACATAGAGAATTGCATATAATGTAATAGCTTTTGGACTTTTAAGATACATGACAATAAGGATCATCTATTTTGATGGTATTAGTTTTGTATTTCTTTGTTAAGTTTTGTGTGTTTATATGAATATACCTGGGGGTATGTTTTAAGTAAATATTTCAGTAATACCTACTATTTATATGTTTACTGTTGTACTTACAGCTTTATATGCATTATCTAATCTTTATAATCTGTAAAATAGAGCACTATCTCATTTTACAGATAAAAATATCAGGCTTAGGCAAACTATGATACTGCCCAGGATTATACAAGTAACTGTATAGGAGGAATTCAAATGTGTTTTGACTGACCTTACCTTGCACTACTAAGCATTGCACACCACCATCAAAATAACTTGCAGACATGTATATTAGTTTGCTAAGGCTGTTGTAACAAAGTACCACAAACTAGATGGTTAAAATAACAGATATATAGTCTAATAGTCCTAGAGGCTGGAAGTCTGACATTAAGTTTTGTTGTATTAGGAGTACATTGTGACATTTATAAAAGTTCTTACAATATAGCGTAGTTGAATTCACCCCCTCCATCATTCTCCTTTATTACTGCCCCCCCATTCCTGGAATAGTTTCAACAGGTCTCAATTTTCCATTTTCATATATGAGTACATACTATTTCCACCATATTCACCTCCTACACCCTTTCCTTATATCCTCCCCTCCCTACTGATACCAGTCCCCATACATGACCTATTTTACCTATCCTCCATTTTTGAAAAAAGATATTTTTGTTTGTGTAAGATAGCTTACAGGGAATTTCATTGTGACATTTCCACATAGGTATGTATTATAACTCATTGCCTCTGATTTTCTCCAGAAAGTTGGTTCCTTTTGAAGGCTATGAAAGAGAATCTCTTTCATGCATCTTCCCCAGCTTCTGGGAGTTTGCTCCCAATTTTTGATGCCCTTTGGCTTATAGATATATTGCCCTATTGTTTTTGCCTTCCTGTTTATATGGTGTTCTCCTTGTGTGCATGTCTGTCCAAATTTCCCTTTTCAGTAGACATGAGTCATTGAATTAGGGCTCACCACAAAAACCTCACTTCATCTTACCGCTGTAAAAATCAAATAAGGTCATACTTTGAGTACTGGGTTGTGGGGGAGGGCCAATTCAACCCAGACAGTATGCATGTGTATAATATTTCTAAACGTCCATGTATGCTTACATGTGTATTACAACCTGGGCCTAGGAATGTAAATCAGTGATAGAATGTTTGCCTAGCATGTATGAGGCCCTGGGTTTTATCCCCAGCATTGAGGGGAAAAAATTATTCAGTATTTTTTGTTTTTTGTTTTCTATTTTAGCCCATCATATATTTTGCAGTATAATATGGGGCATATTGAAGTTTTTTTGCAAAGGTAAGATCATTTATATGGTATCTTAAGATTAAATTGTGTTAAAAGAGTCCTTGATCAAGAAAGACTACCTTTTCTTTGCCAGGCCCCAATTAATTAATTACTTTATAAAATAGTGAAGTAAGTATTTTTGTTTGTTTGTGGCACTGGGAGTTAAACTCAGGGCCTTACCCTTGCCAGGCAGCCTCTTTACCACTTGAGCCATTCTGCCATTTTTTGTGTTGGCTATTTTTGAGATAGAGTCTTGCTTTATCCCTGAGGCCAGCCTGGACTGTTGATCCTCCTATAATGCTTCCTGGAATAGCTGGGATAACATTTGTGCCACCATGCACAGCCCATTGGTTGAGATGGAGTCTCACTAACTTTGCTGGGGCTGACCTTGAACTGTGATCTTCCTGATCTTCACCTCCTAAGTAACTAGGATTACAGGTTTGATACACTAGCCCAGTCAAAATTTTTGTTTGTTTGGTTTTTTTGTTAATAAGGGATTTTCCAGTCTTCTGTTTCTGTTAAAAAACCTTATTTCAAAAGGAAAAAGGGTAAATTGAAACACCTCTATTGTACTCCTTCATCTGGGGGGCAGTCGATAAAAGAATTTCATCCATGTTTTTGTTTCATGGGCACAGTCTGTGAACTGCATCAAAAGGAAGGAGGCAATTTAGGTTGTTAACAATACTATCATTCAGGTATAACTTTTCTTGTTCAAGGCACTAAGAAATAACACTTTCTTTTAACAAAAATTAAAAGGTATCAGATATGCATAAATTCTGTAGACAGAAATTTAAGAATTATTTGGAAAACTCTTTAAGCTTTGTTTTCTTTCTCTATGCTTAAATTATCTCTTGAGCTCAGTCAGGTCCTTGCAATACTGTCCTCTAGGACAGTGACAGATTATCAATCCCATCTCTTCCCAAAAGAAGCTTGATTTGTAACATGGCAAATTTGCTCAGCCTACAAGGCAGAAATTTCCACGGGTCTCTTGGCACAAGTAATGGTTAGCTCTGTAATCTTGCTGTATTATGTATGTCTTAATGATTTTATATTCATTTCATGTAGTTTCTATTATTCATACAGTGAAAATATGTATTGTTTTGAGTCTAAGTTCTATATGCTTTGAGATTTCCAAACTGTTTAGTCACTAAGTGAAAAACAAAACACTGCTTGTTCTTTGCTTGGTTAGAATAAGAACCTGGAACCAAAGATACTTTTTGCCACAGATCTTAAACATTTAGTTGATTATAATCATAAATGTTTTCTAAAAAGTATTAGCATAAGTGGAATGCTTTTTTAGAAATAAGGGCAAAATAGTTTCTGTTGGGTATTGAGCGGGGGGGGGGGGGGGGGTGGTAAGGGAGGGGGGAGGGCAGGGGGGAGAAATGAACCAAGCCTTGTATGCACATGTGAATAATAAAAGAAAAAAAATAAGTGGAATGCTTTTAAATCCTTTTTTACATAATTGAGCAGTCAGTTGGAATATATAAAACTGTATCAGATATAATTGATTAGCACTTGCTGTTGAAGATATATTGATTCAATACCAAGAAATAAGCTCTGAGCAGGTTAATTTTGGTCAGATTTGGATGTTAGTAGCCAAATCAAAAAAAAGGTAGATCAAAGTAGATTAAGAATTTTGAGTAATTCTTTCAACAGATTTTTTCCTTAGAGAGAGATGCATTTTATTTATTTTACTGATTTATTTATTTATTTTGAAACAGGGTCTTATTATGTAGTTCAGGCTGGCATTGAATCCAAGATCCTCCTGCCTCAACCTTCTGAATGCTGGGATGATAGAAATGTGGCACCACATCCTCTTATAACATGCATTTTGATAGTCTTAAAATTTTAGTTTTTATTTCTCCTAAAGAATCTTTCTAAAACAACTTATAAAATACTATTGATAAATTTTAAAATTCTCTTCCAGAACAGAAGAGTCTGTTTTCTCTAAAGGATTGGTAAGATTTATTTACTCCCACTATAATTTAAATACATAGTCATGTCAGCAAATACTGCTCTTGACTTCATACTTTGTGTATATGCATATATTTTAATCTGTAGGAACTGCTGGAGAATGGTTTGTTGAGAATAGAAGACAATAGCCTACTTTACCAGTACTTGGAAATAAAGAGTTTTCTTACTGTACCTCAGGTAAATAAAATGTATATTCTAATCTTAAACGTACCACCTTGCCTATTCTGAACTTCAGTAAGATAGATCTCTCTAACTCCCTTCCCACTTTCTTTTTGACCTCTGAAAACTCTACTGTAGTACAATCAGTATAACTTTTTATGACTAAGGAACTGAATTTTAAATTTAAGTTAATTTAAACTTAAATAGCTACTAGTGACTACAATAGTTGATGCCATAACATGTGAAGGAAAAGCATAACTTTTTTCTTTGATATTTTGTTTATAAGGGATTTTGGAAAATGATGCTCCTTTACGTCTCTTATACCTCAATTACCCGTAGGAGAGATGAATTATGCATTTTGTTTTTCTCTCCTATGGTTTATTTTGACCCATTTTTCTTTATTATATCCAAGTAGGTCTTTTCCTGTGATTGTAGAAATTTATAATATTTAAATAGAAAAATGTGGCTTTTGTTAAAATGCTAAACTTGATTTTCTTTTTTTTTTAGTGGTACTGGGTGTTGAATTCAGGGCCTCACATTTGCTAGGCAGGCACTTTACTACTTGAGCCACTCTGCCAGCCTATTTTTAATAAATGTATTATGTTTCTGAATGTTTGATTTAATTTTCTTGACAATCTAGACATAATTGAAAATTTTCTTTCACTTTTAAAATTACACTTTGTAGTATTCAACTCTGTTACTTAACAAAATTAATTGTAGTTACTTTTCTATAGATGTAATATAGGAGTGAAAGGCTCAGAGAAAAATCAATTTACTTCACTTGTAAATCTCCTACCCTACTTCTCTGAATTTTTAGTACCCACTATTGACAATATAGCTGGCTGTTTGCAATTTGTATAATCAATTTCATATGAATTTTAAATCTTTTATTTACAGGGTTTAGTCAAAGTAATGACACTTTGCCCTATTGAGACACTGGTATGTACATTTTTGAGAGTAGGTAATAATGAATTACAGTGAGAAATTTTGGTAAATAATTTAACTTTTATTCATTTTATGTAACAATATTTACTTGTTCCATTTTAGAGGAAAAAGGGCTTAGCTATGCTTCAGCTGTATATTAACAAGTTGGATTCCCAAGGCAAATATACATTATTTAGGTATGTATCCAAGATGGTGTGTTAGGCACTTTGCATTGCTATGTCAAACTACCTGAGAAAACAACTAAGGGAAAGAGGATTTATTTTGACTCATAACTTCAGAGGTTTTATTCCATGGTCATCTGACTCCATTGCCATGCGCCAGGATCACACCTGCTTACCTCATGGCAGCCAGGAAGCAGAGAGAGTTACAGAAAGGGGTTGTGGGCAGGTATATCTTTTTATTTAGTCCATGCTCCCTGTGACCTAATTCTTGCAATTAGGCCCCACCTTTTAGTGCCCACCACCTCCCAGTCAGGTCATCATATTACGAACCCATCAAAAAATTAATCCATTGATTAATCCTGAGTAGAGCCCTCAGAATCTACTCACTTCCCAAAAACCTAATAGCTGTCAACCAGGCCTTTAACACAGGCGCCTTCAGGGGACATTTCATGTTCAAACTATAACACATGGCTAATTGCTAAGCATGTGGTTGGCTGAAAACCAAGTCAATGGCAAATAATTACTGCAGGAAATAGTATTTTTTGTCTAGACAGAGAAAGCCTATGAAATGTTTTAGATATATATATGTATATATATGTGTGTGTACATGTATGTATTTCCAACACAAACATGTATACACACACACATATTCACACACATTATATTGAATAATAGTATATATAATATATATGGAACTGTCCCAAAGTACCACTTGTGAGTCAGTCTTTCTCTTCATTTCTATTAATTCGATCAGACCTGGTTTATGAACTGAGTATTATGGTCTTATATAACTTCTTGTTCACTTCTACCTGTATCTACCAAGAAATCCCTTTTTTGTTTGTTGTTTTGTTGCTGTGACAAAATAACTGAAAAAATGAATTTCAAAGGAGGAAGGATTTATTTTGGGTCATGGTTTCAGACATTTCATTCCATCTTTGGTTGGCTCTATTTCTTTAGGGACTATCAGGCAGAACATCTCGGCTGAGAGTGGGTAGCAGAGGAACTGTTCTCCTCACGGTGACCAGGAAGCAAAGACAGAGAGGGGAAGGGCCAGGGGAATCAGTATTTTTCAAGGGGAATGTTCCTAATGATTCCTTCCAGTAAGGACACATCTTAAATTAGCTGGAAACCAAGCTTTCAACTCATGAGCCTCTAGGAGACATTTAAGTTAAAAGCCATTACACTGGTCTTACCAGTTTCCTTTTGTAATTACCTAATCACTAATCCACTTTCACAGGGAGCAATTTTGGAAGTTTGTAGGTTATTAAAGATGCCATTATTGCTATGTTAAATTATTGCAACTATATGTGCACAAAGATTCAAATTTGGTTTAATACAAATTTCTTGTTGAAAAGATTAAGTTATTAATAAAATTTATCAGTGAGAGCAATAGCTATTACAGATGACTTTATAATTTGTTGATCACCTTGCTAATTGTCTTTACTGTAGATTTTATCTTCTTAGAACTAGCACATGGCCTATTTGAATTTGTAAAACTCAACACCATCTAAATATAATACAATGCCATATAATTTTATGTGTTACAATTCTGTTTTCAAGGTGCTTATTGAATACAAGTAATCACTCAGGTGTGGAGGCCTTTATTATTCAAAATATCAAAAATCAAATTCACCTGTCATTTAAGGTAAGGGCAATCAAGGTGTGGGTTACCAATTTTATGCATTCATATGTAGGTGGGTTTTTGGTCTACAGTCTTTTTCTATATATAGAAAGGTATATTTTCTTAGGTCTACTATTTTTAATGAAACAAACTGAATTTTGAAATATTCTTAACAATAAATTTAAATTGTGTTAATTCTTTCAACCGATAATGACTTTGTTTTGCTATATACTTCTTAATAATAAATGGAAACTTAAGTCTCATCTGTTTGTGAATACTCAGTTATTTCCATATGAAAAACTACCAATATTCTCAAACTGGCAGGGCTTATTCCATATGTCTAGAAAGTGGATGGAAGTATAGAAATTAAAGTTAAAACTATATTTTGAAATGTGTAATAGTTTATTTTTGTAATGTGAAGGTATTAGAGAACACATTGATTTATCATGGTATTGTTTAAATCTTAACCAGTTTCTCTTTTGCTTTTCAGAAAACGTATAACAAATGGTTTACAGGACCACAACTGATTTCTCTTTTAGATTTGGTTCTTTTTCTCCCAGAGGGTGCTGAAACAGATTTACTGCAAAACTCAGATAGGTGAGGTTACCATTACTGAGGTTCAAATAGTAAACTACCCAAATTAATCAAAATGTTTCCTTGGGATTTTGTGATCTATGGTTAAGTCATAAAATTATGTAAAGATATTCATGTTTAAGTTACTCAGTGTGTAGAAACAAAGTGAAATCTCTTCAGGAGTGACCAGCACTCTGATTTTACACCTTTAATGTATGTACTCAGTGTTCTATAGGAATTTGCAGCTACAGCATTTGGGACTCGAGATTGAGAATCTTATGTGTGTCACTTGCAAAAGGTTTACAAATTTGGGTTTTGTTGTTTTTCCAGGTCTGTTGGGTTTTTTTTTTTTCTTTCTTTCAAATAGAACATGTAATTTCACTTTGGGTATATTAGAATGAATGTTGAGAAATGTTTGTAAGCATTTATAAGCAAAAGGAATCTTGAAGCAAGAGACCCTTTTAAATATTAAAGATAACAAGGCTTTAATAGGGAGAAAAAAATAAGATAATTTGAATAATTGTATTTTTTTAATTTAAATGCAAAACAGCAATAATAAGCTATTACTACTCCAAAAGCCATAATGGGAATCGTTTCTAATGGTAAATTTGATTATAAAAAATATTCCCAGAGTTTTAAATTGCTTTATTTGTTAAAATTACCGTGGTCATGCGAAACTATACCGCAAAGAGCTAATTATATATTTTTAATTAACAGGATTATGGCTTCATTAAATCTATTGAGGTATTTAGTTATCAAAGATAATGAAAATGACAATCAGGTAAGTGAATTATTTGAAAAAGAAACTGTTCAGAATGCATAATAAATTTATCAGATTTTCTTGATTAATATCTACTTAAGCAAATGCTTAATATCTTAGTCAGCTACAAAGGCTTGGGAAAGTGCCAGCAATTATTCTGACACCTGCAGTTAATTCTCAGAATTAATTCCACTCCACATTCAACTTTCCTTTCCTTTTTCTTTTTGTGCCTCTGCTTTCTTGCTGGAAGCACTACTTATCCTTATTGTGTAAATAAGTTGTAGGTCATAAGTTATTTAACCTTGTGGAGTTCAGTATATATTTGGGTATCTTGTTCAGTTTCTTCTACCTATAGTTTATGATTTAAGTCTGAGCTGTCTGAAATGAGATTATCTCATTTTAACATCATGTCATCAGACATGACAAATTGAAGCATTTTCAGAACAAAAAATTTGCTAACAGCACCTTTGGATGATGTGTAGGAAGTGAATTTTTTTTAATAGCACTTCATTAATATTCTATAAATAGAAAACTATTTCAGGGAAATTTGTGATACAGTAAAATTATATTTTCTTTTTATCTTCTTTTTACCTACCCTATTCTAATAATTGCTTTCCCTATATTTGTCACCTCTCTTAACTATAACCATATGAATCATGTATTGTTAATCTGGTTTTAAGAAAGCAAGAGAAAGAATGAAAGTAATTTTTATATAAAGATGCCAAACAGATTTTTAAAAATTAAACAAGTCATGATTTAGAATGAAAAGTTTGTTGGAAAAGTACCTTCCTTTTGGAAGTATCCTTCCCTTTGGACAGATCTAGGAGATTCAGTTACTTGGCCTGTTCATCCCTCTTTGGCCAAAAATAGTTATTACTATTATTGAGTAGTAGTTACTGTGTATTAGGTACTATTTATTTTCAATATTTTACTATGAAAATTTTCAAATATACGGCAAAGTTGAAAGACTAAGCAGTAATTATTGATTTACCTATCACCTAGATGTTACCATTCTGCTCTGCTTCCTTCATCATATATCCATCTCTATCCTCTTACTCATCCATCATTCTATCTTATTTTTTAAATACATCTCAAAGTAAGCTGCAGACATCAGCATACTTTGCCCCAAATATTTCAACTTGTGTTTTATTAAGTAGAGTTAAATGTCAGTAGTTTTTCTATGAGGTAAAACTCATAAGGAGAAATGCACAAATTTTAAGTGTACATTCACTGAGTTTTAACAGATGCATAGATCTGCTGTACCAAACTTATATCAAATATAAAACATTGCCATCATGACAAGTAGTTCTCTTGTGCCCCTTTCCAGTTAATTATGACCTCATTACTTCACCCCCCCATTCCTGCCAGAGGTAACCACTATTCTAGCTAGGTGCTATTTATCATTTATTCTTCACAATGCTGAAAGAACTACTCTTGTTCCCTTTTCAGTGATAATGTAGACACAGGAAAGAACATTAATTTGCAAAAGGATACACATCTAGAAAGTGGTAGAGATGACTATGACTCCAGGCAGTGGCCAGAACTTTTGAAATCATGAACTAAATCCTGACTCTAAAAAAGTTTGTGGCAAAAACAGAAAAGATACAACATAAGATTCAAAGGCAGTGGAGGCCCTAAGGCCTCAGGAAGATGTCCTTAGGGTAAGATAGGAGTTTTTGCTTTTTTAGTAATTAGGAAAGACTGTGCCTATATAAGATACGATCTGATTTGCTTGTCACAAAGGAAAGGAATCTTATTGATTAGGACTTGTAGATTTATTAGATGTAATACAGGGGCAGCAGATGTGTCTCTGCCTGGACAGGGAAGATTTGAAGTAGTTTAGACTACTTGGATATCCACAGATAATGTTTCACTTTTTTGTCATGAACATTTTATGAGTAAAGAAAAGGATAGAATCTGCTTATAGGGATGCGTTCTTTTTTAATGGTGATTTAAAAAAAATTCTTAGGGATCAAATATTACAGATTTTGCCATATAAGTTACCAAAAGAATTACCATGCTAGGGAAATGAGCAAAAATTCTAGCCCATAGTAGCAATCTGACTTCTTTGTGGCTGCTTGAAAGCCTGTCCATCATGAAAATATGTCTCCCTACTACAAATAAAATAGGTAATGTATACAAATAGGGACAAACTTGTCTACTGTGGTTAATCAAAAAAATAATAGCTTCCAGCTAGGTGTGATGGTGCACACCTGTCATCTCAGCGCTTAGGCTTTGGCTGTAGCTCCCTGGTAAGAAGAGTGCGTGCTTATTAACACGTGCAGAGCTATAATACTATCTTGGTGTTACTCACTAAAACAAAAAGCAAAACAAAATGCAGTTTCTGATTTTTTAGAAATTTTGTTTAAAGAAACAAAATGATACCTTGATGATACTGAATTGTGGGATATTTTATTCAAAGGGGCTCCTACCAGTTTCTATTTTCAATCAGCTAAAACATGTGCTGAAAGGGTAACTAGTCAGCTGAGAAGCTGCAAATTAGAAGGATGTATAGGAAGTTTAAGAACAGAACCATTCAAATATTAAAGACAATAAAGTGGTTCATAATTAGATACTAATCCATTTCTTTTACTGTCATTTGAGTTACTGTCAAACAATTTACTCTTTTCTGAAACCATTCATTTCCCTATTTACCCTACTATTTCCTGGCTCTTTATCTCCCTGAAAAGTTATAAGCACATTTTCCCGTATTTCATTTTCACAAAATTTTTCTTCTTTCTTATAGTATAACCAGGCCCTATCTTTAATGTTAAAACCAACTTAGGTTTTGTACTTAACATTCTGCATTGGTGACTATCCAGATAGTTATTACTTGTTTTGAATTACAATAATTCTAATCACAGCCTATAATTCCGGTATTCCTTACCTTCTGCCTTGTCTCCTCATATCCATTCCCATCTACTTACTGCCCATTCTGTTTCTTAAATAATTTCCAATTATAATATGTACAGTGAGAGCAGGGTCAAGGAAAACAATGAGATTGCAAAGGGCACAGGAAAGTATCAGGAATTTTTAAAAATTAAATTGTAATGTATGTATATATTTTCATTTAATGCAAATAAACTATACACATATTCTCTACAATCCATTCTTTCTCCAAGATTAACACATATCCAGGGACTGGAGGTATGGCTGAGTGGAGTATAGTTGAACACTTCCCTCGTATGAGTCCTTGGGTTCAATCCCAGCACTGCAATAAAATAAAAATAAAAATGCTCTGTGAGATATTTGCACAGCCAGATGTCTTTGTGTGATAGAAATTCCTTAATATTACAGGTGGTAGTAATTCTGCAATTTTACTTCATAAATAAAATCTGTCTCCAAGTATGAGGCCCTGAGTTAAAACCTCTGTACTTAACCACCTCCAAAAAAAAAAAGAAGTAATAAGTAACCTGCTAGGCATGGTGGCTCAAGCCTGTAATCCTAGCTACTCAGAAGGTAGAGATCAGGAAGATCATGGTTCAAAGCCAGGTGGGGCAAATAGTTCATGAGACCCTATCTCGAAAAACAGCAACAACAACAACAGGCTTAAGGTGTAGGCCCTGACACAAAAGACAAAAAGGAAAACCTATCTCCTATGAAATAGGAAATAGGGGCAAGCTGGGTCCTATTCTTGTTCCTCCCCCCTTTTTTAAATTTCTTCATTATTATTGTTGACTGTACCTTTGCAAGGTCTTTATCTTTTCTGTAAAAAGATTTAGTTTATCTTTTCAGTAAAATTTCACTGTGGTGTAGAGATGCCTCGTCTTCCTTTTGTAAGATAGGCTGGAGTGAAATTTCAAGTGTATGGTTAAGCTTTAGAACCAAAAACATTTTAGAACTGTTACATCAGTGAGACTACTTGGGTATAAAATTAACAGCAGGCATTTGTGACTATTTCAAAATTTTAATATTTATAACTAAAAAATTCTCAAAATTTCTTCTTTCTTTTTCTTTTTTTGGCAGTACTAATAGTTGAACTCAGGGCCTTGCACTTGCCAGGCTCTACTACTTGAGCAGCCACTCCACCATTCTCTTTGTGTGGATTATTTTTGAGGTAGGGTCTCTCTTTAACCTGGGTGGGCCTGGACTGCAATCCTCCTGTTTGTGATTCCTAGGATAGCTGGGGTGACAGGTGGGTACCATCATGTCCAGCTATTGGTTGAAATGGGGTCTCATGAACTTTTTGCCCGGGATGGCCACAAACTGCAATCTTTATGATCTCTACCTCCCAAGTAGCCAGGATTGCAGGCTTGAGCCACCATGCCTAGTGAGTTACTTGTTACTTTTTTTTTTTTTTTTTTTTTTTTTGAGATGGTTAAATACAGGGGTTTGAACTCCGGGCCTCACACTTGCTAGCCAGGCACTTTACCACTTGAGCCACTCTGTCAGCCCAGGTTATTTCTTTTTCTAAACATTAAAGATGAAGAAAATCTAAAATGTGTTTGCTCATTTTATTTTTTTTTTAAGATCTGGTACCTTAATGTATGATAAAGAGAAAAGATTCTTATTTCCACAGTTTCTTCACTCCTACGTGCTTCTAAAAATGAAGAGTGTTCATCATATGAAAGATGGGGGGAATTATGCTGAACAGGATGTGTAATAGGTTTTCACTGGCCTAATTATAGCACACGTTCATTACATAAAGTTTTATGACTATGGGCTGTCAATTAAGCACCCATGAAAACAACTAAGGTTTTAATATTTTTAAAGACCTGAATTTACATTGTAGCCACATGGGATCATTGAAATTTTAAACTGATTAAAAATTTTAAACATTGAGATATCCAGATTCTCAATGGCCATTTTATTTTTTTTCTACATTTTTTTATTATTGTTGTGCTGGGTGTACAATGTGTCATTTACAAAAGTTCTTACAATATATCATAGTAGAATTCACCCCTTTTATCATTCCTTTATCTCCCCCCCCACATTCCTGGAATATTTTCAAAGGTCTCATTTTTCCACTTATATACATGTGCACACAGTATTCGCACTATATTTATTTACCCTCCTACACC